AAAGCAGGAGAGGAGTTATAATTCTTCCCTAAAAGCAGTCATTTTTGCAATCATTTTTAATGGCACGTAGCAGCTGGAGGGGTTACTAATGTGCCATTAGAGCTATTTGCATATTCAGAGGGATCTGGTGCGCTCTCCCACTCAGGCTCTTAGCACACTATATAAATGTGTCTGCTGTACACCATTTCCTCTTGACCTCAGGGAGGGAATAGGAGACTCTTGCACCTGGATTGAAAGAACTCTTGAGAAAACATCCTGCCACTGGCACGACAGAGAGACCAAACATTGCCTCCCAAGGGGGACCTTGAGAAATACAGTGGTACCTCGGGTTACAGACGCTTCAGGTTACAGACTCCGCTAACCCAGAAATAGTACCTCGGGTTAAGAACTTTGCTTCAGGACGAGAACAGAAATTGTGCTCCGGCGGTGCGGCGGCAGCAGGAGGCCCCATTAGCTAAAGTGATACCTCAGGTTAAGAACAGTTTCAGGTTAAGAACAGACCTCCAGAACGAATTAAGTTCTTAACCCGAGGTACCACTGCAAAAATAAAAAATCTTGTCCAAGAGAGGTCAGTCTCCATGGCTCTGAGATATGCCAGATCTCTCAACCTCTGTTTTCCATTTGAGAAATGGGAATAATAATCATGTTAAGAAAAGAGTTTTGCATGTGTGGATAATAACAGCTGGTTGCCTGCCAATTTCCCTTAAACTAAGACCAAGATCTGCAGGGGTGACAAAGGCCGGTATCAGTTTCTATTATAATCATGCACAGGAAAAATATATATATTTGATCCAAGACAGACAGACACCCATGTTCCCCTCCAAGAGCTACAATTCCCAGAGTTGCCAGAAAAGGTTATTTATGTATGCCACTACTGCAGCCTGTTAGCCCCAAAATGGAAATCGAGTGAGGTTCCAACTAAAGAATGGCAACTTAAGTTGACAGAATATGCACAACTCACAGACTTCGCATATAGAATAAGAGAACAAGAAGAACATAGGTTTAAAGAAGATTGAAAAATGTTTATTGAATATATGGGGGGAAACTGTGTACGGCTGAAAACACTGGAAGCATTAAGATAAATTCAACAGTGTAAGCAAGTTTTGATGGATGCAAAAATGGAATACTGAATGGTATAGTTTTTGTAAAATATGTAAGGATTTATGAAATGTCAAATGAACCATGGAAAGAGAAGGAAAGTCTTAAGAATGTAAAATGAGTATTTTAAATTGTAAAACAGAAAATGTAATAAAAATTATATATAGAAAAAGAAAACCAAAATCAATTACAAGGAAAATTCTGCTGCCTCCTGCCCTGCCACTATAAACACAACAGGGCTTTGGGTCTGCAGTTCCTCCCCCACAGATTCTCCCAGCCCTTTTGATTGCTCTGTGCACCTCAGAAAATAATATTTGACCCTTGTTCTGAGGGCCTATCCACACTTGCGTTTATCCTGTGTTTTCTTCCACTTGCAGTACTACCACAAGTTTTGTCCAGGACTTTGGGTCCTCAGGCCATACCTTACTCTGAAAATGTGTGATATCCCATTCCCTGCTGTCCAGCTTTACTTCCTTCTTGCCCACCCCTTTCTCCATCCCCTTGCACATGTCCTCCTTTGCTGTGGATCTTTTTTGGGGGGTTCCTGCAGTCCATTGTGTTCTTGCACATGTGCACAGAAACACACAATATCATGCTGCCGCTTCTCTGGAACCCCCAAGAAGAAGTCCAACAAGCACAAGTCAAAAATAGACTGTAATTTAATAGCCATATTCCTGCATTTCATGGGGTTGGACTAGAATCAGCCTTTCTCAACCTGTGGGTCCCCAGATGTTGTTGAACTACAACTCCCATCACCCCTAGCTAGCAAGGCCAGAGCTCAGGGATGATGGGAGTTGTAGTCCAACAACATCTGGGGACTCACAGGTTGAGAACCGCTGGAGATGATCCTCAGGTTCCCTTCCACCTCTATTATTCTAGGATTCTAAGTGGTACTAAATCAATTTTGTGAACCACCCTGAGATCTTTTGATGAAGGGCAGTACATACATTTAATAAATAAATAAATAAATTATTTCAACTAGTTTAAAGGCAAATGACTCATCAACCACAAATATTCTCTTTAGTGATGGGTGATGGCCCTTGTTCTCATGGACATTGTGTGCTGAGGTAAGCCATTCCTCTTAGGAGCTCTTTTCAGAATCCTTCCCATCTTGAATTGTGCTGCTCAAAACAGAAAGCAGTAGAGCAAAGGATGTTTTTGCCAATTGGCCGGCATGGCTTCTTTCCCAAATCTTTGAAACAATGCTACTGTTGAAAAACTGAAATTAGCAAGAAGTGCAAAAACCGACAGAGGAAAGCAGGTCCCGAGGAATAAATTGTGCTAGTAGTCAACCCATAGTCAGGGCTGGAACCCAACTACCTGACAAATGTGTAGCTTGCTGGGTTGCTTCTCTTCTGACCAAGCATGAAGGAAGCTCAATATGTTATTGCTGGATGCAGAGCTCTGGCTACCAAGAGAGTCACAGCTGTTTCCCAGCTTCTAGTTGGCATCACAGGAATGAACACAGCTGGCTGGTAGCACCCCACCAGCATTGAGCCTCTTATTGGTTGGGAGGCAGGTGACAATGGGCTCCAGCTGTGGAATAGTAATTGCAGAGGATAATTAGGTTAGGATCCACATGGGGCTTCACTGTGCTGAACAGAGTGTTACGGGAAGCCTAGATCTGGATTGGAGGCAGGCAGAGGGCAGATCCCACCTTATGCACACATGTGTAAACCTGAAGAGAAGAGTGTGTTCTACCGTCACCCAGAACAGATGAAGAAAGAGGAGAATCCACAAGTATATCTTCCAGGCTGTGTCTGCACTACAAAACAGAATTTTGTCCTTAGAGTTGAAAAGGACATCCAATGTCATCTAGTCCAGGGACCGGGACCTGGTGTGGCACTCCAGATGTTCATGGACTCCAGTTCCAGAACCTTTCATGCTGGCTTGACAGGCAGAACTTCAACTGGTGAAGACTTAGGCTTCGTTGGGTAAGCAGAAGAAACAGGTGAAGTTGAATAAGCCAGATACTGTTGGACTACAACTCCCATTATACCTAACCATTGGCCTTCCTGTTGGGAGATGGAGTCCAACAATATCTGGAAGGTCACTGTTTCCTCAACCCTGCTCTACAGCCATCCTATACCAGATGGTCAGGAAAGGATGGCACCCTGTTGACTGCCCCTGCTTTATAACATAAAAAGTTGAACACAGCGTTTGCAGTCACAGGACCCAAGTTGGGAAATTGTTGTTGTTTAGTTGTTTAGTCGTGTCTGACTCTTCGTGACCCCCTGGACCAGAGCACGCCAGGCACTTCTGTCTTCCACTGTCTCCCGCAGTTTGGTCAAACTCATGCTGGTAGCTTCAAGAACACTGTCCCACCATCTTAATATATATTTTTTCTGTTGATTTACAAACTTGCAACTGTCCCACCATCTCGTCCTCTGTCGTCCCCTTCTCCTTGTGCCCTCCATCTTTCCCAACATCAGGGTCTTTTCCAGGGAGTCTTCTCTTCTCATGAGGTGCCAAAGTATTGGAGCCTCAGCTTCACGATCTGTCCTTCCAGTGAGCACTCAGGGCTGATTTCCTTAAGAATGGATACGTTTGATCTTCTTGCAGTCCATGGGACTCTCAAGAGTCTCCTCCAACACCAGAATTCAAAAGCATCAATTCTTCGGCGAACAGCCTTCTTTATGGTCCAGCTCTCACTTCCATAGTCAAAGGATTTTGCATAGTCAATGAAGCAGACGTAGATGTCTTTCTGGAACTCTCTAGCTTTCTCCATAATCCAGCGCATGTTTGTAATTTGGTCTCTGGTTCCACTGCCCCTTCGAAATCCAGCTTGTACTTCTGGGAGTTCTCGGTCCACATACTGCTTAAGCCTGCCTGGTTGGGAAATAAGCTGGCATTATTTCTAGCGTGCATCCCAATCATTTTGCTGCCTTTGTGCAGAAAGAGAACTCAGTTTACCACCTTAATCATCCCTCTCCCCGATCTATGAAAGCTTAATTATCCAGCAATTAAAGCAGTCCAGAGTGTGGAGGATCACTACTGGGAAAACAAACAAAGAAACAAGGCACCTTCCCATTCAGAAAAACAATGGACCTAAAAACAATTGCCCTATCTCATTATATGCCCAATACTCCCCTAGAGCTTTCAAAAGGAGACCATCAACTGGAAGTCAAGAGGAGAAACTGAATGATAAAATGTTTATTCCCTTGGGACATGCGCTTCCCACTGCATAAACCAACCTATTAAGGGTGTCAGGCAACCAGGTCAATTTGCATGAGGTCCATCTAATTGGCCTTGTGTGGGTTTGTGGGACGCAAGATTGATGCAGTGGTTGAGGTGACTGTCAGAATCCAGGCTCCCTGGAAAGAAACTGGCAGAATTCATTCTGTACTGAGCACCCCAAAGGCCTGGGAGCGGGGAGAGTCAGAATGAGAGTCAGACAGGGGTCTTGGGAAAAACACTTGAGATTTTCCTCTTTGGATTTTTTTGGCCAGAAAGTGGGTCTTCCCAGCCATGCAAAACACACCTTAAGGGAAGTTAGTGTCATAGAACTATAGAGCTGGAAGGGACCATAGGAGTCATCTAGTCCAACCCCCTGCAATGCAGGAATCTTTTTACCCAGCGTGGGACCCGAACCCACAACCCTGGGATTAAGAATCTCATGCTCTACTGGGTGAACAATCCCAGACAGCTGGAAAACCTCTGGAATTTTGTCACTCATGCAGGAATGGAGCGACAAGGGAGAAGGAATACATTGTTGAAGCAATCTGTCCTAGGCACCAGAATATATTGAACTGTCTCAATACCGCATAGCTGGACAGAGGCATTAAAATCAACACAGGTGCTAAGATCTTCCTATCATGGTGGCTAAAGTATTGGCCTTAGACCACAGATATATGTGGGTGCAAATCCCAGCCCTCAGCTATGAATCTTATTGGGTGACTTTAGACCGGTCATGTCCGCCAGTGGTGCAATGGGTCTGGCTATTAACCAGAAGGTTGGTGGTTCGAGCTCACCCAGGGTTGGCTGTGTGCAGGATTCCTGCATTGCGTGGGGTTGGACTAGATCAGTGGTTTCCAGCCAGTGTGCCGTGGCACCCTGGGGTGCCTTGAATGATGGACAGGGGTGCCGCGGGCAACACTGGCCTCCATCCCACTTTCCTTCCCTCCTTCCTCTGATGCCGTCTTGTGTCTCTGCCTGCCAAAGGCTTGTGTGGCTGTTTGTTGCAGGAGCCCTGGCTACAAGCTCCCCAAGCGAATGGGTCTGGCTGGGGGGTGCTGGTTTCCAGGAGCTGAGGTGGCCTCGGAGTAAGCAAGCAAGCGGGTGAGGGAGCCCAGTCAGCCAATCTACCAGCCCTTGCTGTTGGGAATGGACAGACTAGCTGGAGGCCAGACAGACAGGCACAGTGCTGACCTTTCTTTTGCTTGCTGTGTGCAAGGCCTGCCTGGGAGCTGAGTGCCCACTGCTGTCTCCTGAGGTAAGTTGCTGGCCTCCAATTCACCTACGGCCAATCTCTGTTGAGCCACCAAGGCTGGGGGTATCCTCTTCCCAGGCCCCTGTGGGGCAGTGTGAAGAGGCACCTCTTTTTCGAGTGGGGAGCGCAGAGGGGCAGCAGAGGGCCTGCTCTGAGGACTCCCAAGGAGAGGGGAGAAGAGAGGAGGCTAAAGGAACACTCCACAAGGGAGGGTGTTCGAAAAAGGATGAGAAGCTGCCAGCTCTGCAGGCAAGAGGTGACATAACCGGGCTCCTGAGCCCCACAGGGGAGCCTTACAAAGAATGTAGTTGGTCAAGGGAGCCCTTCCAACTTTACAATTCTATGAGTCTAAAATGGGAGGTAAAGGGACCCCTGACCGTTAGGTCCAGTCGTGGCCGACTCTGGGGTTGCAGTGCTCATCTTGCTTTATTGGCCGAGGGAGCCTGCATACAGCTTCAGGGTCATGTGGCCAGCATGACTAAGCCGCTTCTGGCGAACCAGAGCAGCGCACAGAAAGGCCGTTTACCTTCCCACTGGAGTGGTACCTATTTATCTACTTGTGCTTTGACGTGCTTTCAAACTGCTAGGTTGGCAGGAGCAGGGACAAAGCAATGGGAGCTCACCCTGTCACGGGGATTCGAACCACCGACCTTCTGATCGGCAAGCCCTAGGCTCAGTGGTTATTTAACCCCTCACACTGTAAGCTTCTTAAAGGAAGAGTGGGATACAATGAAATGAACATATGGAAACGTTGAAACAAGATAAAATAAATTTTCCTTCCAGTAGCACCTTAGAGACCAACTAAGTTTGTTATTGGTATGAGCTTTCATGTGCATGCACACTTCTTCAGAGCACTGATATGGAAATGTTGCCAATCCTAGCCATGGAAAGCAATGAGGTTTAACCTGGAACCTTCTGCATGCTACTTCCCGGGGAGTTGGCACCACTAGACATACCTCTGAGTAAATATGCAACCAATTCATGGTTAGTCATGTGCAACTAACCTTTGCTGGATCAGGGCTCACGGTTTTCTAGGCAGCCTTTATGCTACATCCTCCTTTCTTGAGAGAGAGAGAGTTAAAAAAAGAGGCAGAACATTTGCCTCTCAGTTACATCTTCCTGAGCACTTTGGTACAGATGAAATTGAAAGTGGTCATTTAATTTTTTTTTATCATCACTGCTGACGGTTTCATTGGCCTGGTGGAAAAAGCAAGAGGCTGATTGAAACCCAAATTACCACATTCATCCCACAGGAGAACATCAACCATCTATTTAAGCTAACCTGAGTCGTGCTCAGCTTGAGGACTCCATTGCTATGCTTTCGCCTGCAGGTATGTATAATTCTTGTGAGCAAGAGGCCGAGCATTATGCCTGCCAGAGAGATGATGAAAGAGCTCTTTTGTTGCATGGCGCTGGGGAAGTGAGGGGTAGAGTGTGTCTCTAGGCCTTCATGTTTGAGCCCCTCTGTTCATGCTTGGAGAATGATCTGGGCAAGGAATCGTCATGCTTCCTACCAGAGCCAGTGTGGTGTAGTGGTTGAGAGCGGTAGTCTTGTAATCTGGGGAACTGGGTTCGCGTCTCCGCTCCTCCACATGCAGCTGCTGGGTGACCTTGGGCCAGTCACACTTCCTTGAAGTCTCTCAGCCCCACTCACCTCACAGAGTGTTTGTTGTGGGGGAGGAAGGGAAAGGAGAATGTTAGCCGCTTTGAGACTCCTTAAAGGGAGTGAAAGGCGGGATATCAAATCCAAACTCTTCTTCTTCTTCTTCTTCTTCTTCTTCAGGTCCTTCCAGACCAGAAGATACAGATTTACTAGACTACTCAGAGACACAAACACAGGACAGCCAACGTCAACCACACACTGCAAGGGTCAGAGGGAGCATCGGCCACCAGCGTGGATTGCTTTAAGAGAGGGTGAGATAAAATCATGAGGGAGAAGGCTATCAAGGGCTGCTGGCCAGAATGGCTGGGTTCTGCTGCCATGGGTGATCCTGGGAATCACAGCTGGGGACTGCTGTATGTAGGTCCTCCTTGGGGGCTTCCTTTGGGCATCTGGTTGGCCACTGTGAGAACCGGAGGCTGGAATGGATGGGCCTGATCCAGATGGGCTCTTCTAATGCTCTTAAGGGCACCTGCAAGCTCATCAGAGTGGATGCAGCCAACAGCTGGACTTGGCAATGCTAAGAGTCGGCACACACGCCACATGCTCCATTCTACAACATTGCAGTGTGGCACCCACTGCACTGGTCGCCCTACCCTAAAATCGCCTCTGCACATCATACATATGCCTTCCATAGAAATGCACACATTTTCTTTCCTGGTGCTTTCCTTTGCCTGTTGAAGCTTGTCAACAAGGTCTGCCAGTTATATAGGTAAAGGTACCCCTGACCATTAGGTCCAGTTGTTGCCGACTCTGGGGTTGCGGCGCTCATCTCGCTTTATTGGCCGAGGGAGCCGCGGTACAGCTTCCGGGTCATGTGGCCAGCATGACTAAGCCGCTTCTGGCAAACCAGAGCAGCGCATGGAAACGCTGTTTACCTTCCAGCTGGAGCGGTACCTATTTATCTACTTGCACTTTGACGTGCTTTCAAACTGCTAGGTTGGCAGGAGCAGGGACCGAGCAATGGGAGCTCACCCCATCACGGGGATTTGAACCGCCGACCTTCTGATGTGGTTTAACCCACAGCGCCACCCGCGTCCCATGCACAGAGTAATTAAGCTGAAATCAGAGATTTCCTTTAAAAAATCTGTTCCTTGCCTGCCACACCGGGGCATTTTTAACCCAGATTTCTCCCTCAGCCCAGCGGATGTAAGCCCAGATATCAATTTAGCTTGGAAATACATAACTGCTGTTAAGAGTGCATAATAACAAATTGTGGAAGAGTCGCCGATTCATTAGCACAGAGTACTTGTGAATTAGGACTTACAAACGAGAACCTACACATGCATGAGCTGCTGCTGCCCCCTAGTGGGGAAGAGTTAAAACAACTGGCTTCTCTCTGAGTATTCCTTCCCTGACTGAGGAAGCTTTCCAGATAGCTCAGTCTTTAACAACAAAACAACAACAACATGTGTTTATAAATAGTACAAATAGATTGTTCTTATCAATACTGGCAGGACTGACCATGGCAACCTTAACTGATAAGGAACAGGAATTTATGGACAGTCCTATCACCCCAGAGGAAATATATACGGTCCTCAAAAACCTAAAACCACACAAAGCCTCAGGCCCAGACGGCTTTACAGCAGAATTCTATAAGAAATTCAAAGAACCCCTGATGCCCTCTATGACCTGCCTATTCAATGACATCATAAAAAGGGACCCCATTCTTAAAACATGGACCTCCTCCAAGATAGTCTCTGTCCCAAAATCACTCAAAGGCAGGGTCAAAGAAGAATCATACCGCCCAATCTCATTAATAAACCAAGACTACAAGATATTCAAGCCTTTGGCTTTCCTAGCAGACTTCTACAAATATAACAAACCCACGTTGACACAAGAAATACAAGACAAACTAGGGGACACCCAAATGCCCTGGCTAACACACCACCAATTACATACCTTCTTAAACAATCCAGTAGTAAAATCAGCAGCAACTAGGCCCTTGACAACCGTCGAAAACCTCCTCCTAACAACAAAGGGATACGGCAAGGGGATAGTATCCATATTATACAAAATACTGCTCCAAAAACCCATGAACCCCCTCGACGTAATCAAAAAACGATGGGAGGACGACATAGGCTATGAGAATTAATCCCACCCAATGGACTAGAACCCCCCTTTAAATCCATCTCACCTATATATATATAAAACCTCACCCTGAAACTCACTTACAGATGGTACCTAACACCACGGAAACTAATACGCTAATACGCCCAGGAGCCTCACCAAAATGCTGGAGAGGATGCACCTCCACAGGCACGTACCTCCACATGTGGTGGAAATGTCCCAAAATACAACTCTTCTGACATTTTGCATAAAAGAAATATGCAAACTAACTAAGCAAGTATTAGAAGTCTTCCCAGAACAGGTCCTACTCAACATCTTCCAAGACAATAATGCCCACACAATATAAAGAACTCAGAATCCACCTGCTCTCAGCAGCCAGAAGCATCATAGCCAGACACTGGAGAGACCTGTCAGGAATAAGCATGGACCAATGGTATCAAATTGTATGGGAAACAGCCTTACTAGAAAAGCTAACCAATAAACTGAAACTGACATGGGGACAAATAGAAGAAGATGCCTTCACCCCAGTATGGTTTCCCTTTATCACTTACTTAGCCCAGCAAGACAACAACAAGAATCCACCGACAGCATATGAATCAATCTGGCTAACCTGATCCAAAACACCCACCCCCACACACTCACACACATAAACAAATCTCACAACAGCCAACCAAAGACAACCAACCCCACCCTAGGCCACCTCTCTCACCACCAAGGAAATATAACAAGTGAATAGTAAGAGAACCCACACAAGTGACGCTGACACAAAACCCGACACACACACAAAGTAGAATAGAAGCATAACCACCCCACCCCATTCCACTCACCACCACCCTCCCCCTTTCCCCCTTTTCTTCCCAACCTGCATGCAACACTAATGTCTCACAACAAATGAAACTGATCTGTGGAAAACACCACTTGAAAAAAGAGACAATGCACGTCTTTTTGTAAACTAAGAAATCTTTAATAAAAATATATTGATTTAAACAACAGTAAGCATGCATATTCAATAGGTTCTTAATGTGGACATTTTACCCATTTAAAATATTTTAGGCTGTTTACTGACTAACACAGCATACCCCAAAAAGTGTGTGTTTTCTGTTTAGCTTTTAGGAAAATGTATCATCCATTCCTGTGCTCATTCATCTGGTGTGCTGAAGGAAAGGCACTCTGAACATGTTCAGTGATACTTCACATAGAATTGCAGAATCACAGAATTAGAGAGTTGGAAGGGACACCCCACTGCAATGCAGGAGTCTCAACTAGATCATATAATGCAGATGGTCATCGAACCTCTGCTTAAAAACCTCCAAGGAAGGAGAGTCCATCATTACCCACCCGAGAAGAATGGCAGATGAAAGTGATGGACTACATGGAACTGGCTGAGATGACTGGCAGAATTCGAGACCAGGGAGAAAGGTCGATGGAAGAAGATTGGAAAAAATTTAAAATATATCTTCAAAAATATTGTAATATAAAAGACTGTTAGAAAGATGTTGGAAAAAGAAAATTAGGTCGTTTTGGTAGATATGATATAAAGGATTAAGCAAAAATGAGTTGATGAAATTGATGAAACAGAGGATGATTAACTACATTATACTAAATTAAAATACGTAAATGAAAATAAGGTTAGAAGGATTTGCTGGAAATACGATCTGAACTAGAATACAAAATTGGGAGGTGAGAGGAGGTCATGGAAATAAGTAAAGGGAAAAGGTTATGTAAAGGTTTAATCTGCTTTTGTTCTATTTTAACTCAATGCATTTTTATATCTTTTGTTTCGTCTTTTTTTTATTCTATTTTATTGTTCAATTTTTTCTTGTTATATTTTCGCTTTGTTATGGTTAAATTTTTCTTTGTATTCTGTATTGTTTTTTCTTCTTTTTTTGTAATTTTAAACTTGGAATAAATATCATTTTAAAAACAACAACAACAAGGAAGGAGTGTCCATCATCTCCCAAGGGAGACCATTCCACTGTCAAACAGCTCTTATTGTCAGAAAAGTTCTTCCTGATAACTGAAGTATTGGTTCAGGTCCAAGCCTCCAGAGCAGGAGATAACAAGCTTGTTCCATCTTCCATGTGACAGCCTTTTAGATATTTGAATACAGTGGTACCTCTGGTTACAAACTTAATTCGTTCCAGAGTTCCGTTCTCAACCTGAAACCATTCTTAACCTGAGGTACCACTTTCGCTAATGGGGCCTCCCGCTGCCGCCGCGTGATTTCTGTTCACATCCTGAGGTAAAGTTCTTAACCCGAGGTACTACTTCCGGAGTCTGTAACCCGAAGTGTTTGTAACCCGAGGTACCACTGTATGGCTATCATATCTCCTCTCAGTCTCCTCTTACCCAGTTTAAACATACCCAATTCCCTCAACCATTCCTCATAAGACTTGGCTTCCAGACCCTTTATCACCTTGGTTGCCCTCCTCTACACACGTTTCTGCTTGTCAATGTCCTTCTTAAATAGTGGTGCCCAGGACTCCAGGTGTGGTCTGACCAAAGCAGAATAGATCAGGAGTCCTACTTCTCTTGATCAGGACACTAGACTTCTGTTGATGCAGGATCGAATAATATGAGCTTTTTTTGCTGCTGCATACTACTGTTGACTCATATTAAGCTTGTGGTCTACTAAGAACCCTAAATCCTTTTGGCATGTCCTTCTAGCAACCTAGGCATCCCCCATCTTATTATGTTGGTGCATCAAATTTGCAGATGACACCAAACTGGGAGGGGTAGCACAGGGCCAAAACTAACATGTGTCCCTACTGAAATTCATTTTGTTAGTCTTGGCCCTGTGCTCCAATCTCTTAAGGTCGTCTTGAATTCTGTCTTCTGTGGCATTAGCTACCCATCCCAGTTTAGTGTCATCTGCAAATTTGATTAGCATCACCTCAATCCCTTCTTCCAAGTCATTTATAAAGACATTGAACAACGGGCCCAGGACAGAACCCTGTGGCATGTTTTTCCATGAAGATGAGGAACCATTAATGAGTACTCTTTGGGTTTGGTCAGTCAACCAGATACAAATCCACCTAACAGTTATCTCAGCCAGCCCACATTTTACCAGTGTTCTTTGCAAGAATATATACAGTATGAGATTACTTCTGTTTATTTAAAGAAAAGGTGTGGCATGGCCAAAAATGGGAATAAAGTAGTGCTAAACCAGTGTGGTTGAAGAAAAAGGGGTAGAGGCTGGGGCTACAGGTTTTCCCCCCTATTATCATTAAGGTAAAGGTAAAGGTGCTTTTTCCAACTATTTAAAGGTTAAATGGACCCCTGACTATTAGGTCCAGTCGTGGCCGACTCTGGAGTTGTGGCACTCATCTCGCTTTATTGGCTGAGGGAGCCGGCGTACAGCTTCCGGGACATGTGGCCAACATGACTAAGCCGCTTCTGGCAAACCAGAGCAGTGCACGGAAACGTCGTTTTCCTTCCCGCCGGAGCAGTACCTATTTATCTACTTGCACTTTGACATGCTTTTGAACTGCTAGGTTGGCAGGAGCAGGGACTGAGCAACAGCAGCTCACCCCATCACGGGGATTCGAACCGCCGACCTTCTGATCGGCAAGTCCTAGGCTCTGTGGTTTACCCACAGTGCCACCCACGTCCCTATTATCATTGCTAGATCCTAAAGCAAATGCTCAGCATGGCCCATTTATGTTACACAGTGCATACCATATCATTCTTTCTTATAGATTCAATTCATGAGGGAAATTTTGGAACAAGAAGGAGATAAATTGAAATTGCAGAGTTTTGAGAAACTAAAAAATAAAGTGAGAGACTGGCTTCATTATTATCAGATAATGGAGCCATATAATTTGGATAAGAAAATTGGCTTCCAGGTGGAAAAATCAAAATTAGAAACAGAACTGTTAGAACCCAAGACTAAAAATCTGTCAAGAATGTATAACTTGCTGTTGAAATGGAATACTCAGGATGAAACGGTGAAATCTGCTATGATTAAATGGGCACAAGATGTTGGACATAATATTATGTTTGCTGACTGGGAACAGTTATGGACCACAGGTATGAAGTTTACGGCATGTAATGCCTTAAGAGAGAATATTATGAAAATGATATACAGGTGGTACATGACCCCAGTCAAGCTTGCAAAAATCTATCATTTGCCCGATAATAAATGTTGGAAATGTAAAGAAACTGAAGGTACATTCTTTCACCTTTGGTGGACGTGCCCAAGGATTAAGGCTTTCTGGGAGATGATTTATAATGAAATAAAAAAGGTATTTAAATATACCTTTCTGAAGAAACCAGAGGCCTTTCTTCTGGGCATTGTCGGCCAATTGGTGCCAAAGAAGGACAGAACTTTTTTTATGTACGCTACAACAGCAGCAAGAATACTCATTGCAAAGTATTGGAAGACACAAGATTTACCCACTCTGGAAGAATGGCAGATGAAGGTGATTGACTACATGGAATTGGCGGAAATGACTGGCAGAATCCGAGACCAGGGAGAAGAGTTGGTGAAAGAAGACTGGAAGAAATTTAAAGACTATTTACAGAAATACTGTAAAATTAATGAATGTTAGAAAAATGTTGGATAGAAACTAAGTGGTTTCCAGCTGTAATGCTTTAAGAGATATGAAAAAAGGTTTACAAATGGGTAAAAGCTTAATGGTAAGGATTTGCTGAACTAACAAATTGAACTGGAATACAAAAAAGGGAGGTATGAGGAGGTCCGGGGAAATAAGTGTAAGGAAGATAGGTTATGGAAAATTAACGTATTTTTAACTGTTTTATTTTGTATGCTGTCTTTTTTTATTATTACTTTTTTACTTTTTTGCTATATCTCAAAAACCTTATTTCTTTTTTTTATTTTTTCTGTATTCTGTATTTTTTTGTATTTTTTGAAACTTTAATAAATACTATTTTTTTTTTAAAAAAATGGATTCAATTCATGCATCTGCAGCCAAAACCACAACACCAATACCAGAGTGGGGTGAAGGTTATTGTGGTAACTCGGAGCTTTCCAAGGTACCAAAAAAAAATAGAATAGCATCCTAAGAGGGAATATCATGGAATGGATTTATCATCCATTATCTATGAGTTAGGAACAGGTGCAAGTGTTCACCCCTGAACACTTCATAGCTAAGTATTTGTGATACTGTGTTTCATTAACTTACTGTTATTTATGGTTTGTAAACCTCTTTGAGATTCATTTGAATGAAAGGAGGCACAGAAGTACAACAAAGCAAGGCAAATCAGGTGGAGGAACCAAGGCCAGATCTTTCCACCTCAGATCCATCCACTATTCCAGCTACTGTACCAGAAGAGCTCCCAAGCCTACAAGATGTGGTAACTCCAGAAATATATTATTATTGTGTTTTGTGTCAAGTAACAAAAGACAGACAGCATACAAGCTAGTCTACAATCCTCCTGCGCCTGCAAAAATGTAATGAGCATTCTGTTTCAGATGAGGCAAAAGTAGCTAGAAAGTGGTTTTATCTATTTATGTGTCTGGTTTTCCTATTTTCTTTCCCTGCAATTTTATATATTTGTGCATGCTTCCATTTTCTTATGCAATGTTTTACAGTGATTTCAGATGGAAATAATAGATATGAATGCTCCCCCTCTTGCTAGATCTGGAAAGATTCATTAGAAACATAATGCACTTCTTAAAACCTGAATGCCCGTCTACGGCAGTTCAAAATTGTGTCCCCATTTTTTTTTACGACTTTCATTCTGCTTCCAATCAGCTGATCCAGTAAGTTACATAAAGCGCTTCCATTTATTTAGGTTGGCTTGGCTGTCATTACAGCCCAAAGCTGTAATTCTCCAAAAAGTTGTAATTGCACATATTAATCCTATCAGCCACTCTTTCTAAGACTTCTTCCTGGACTGAATGGCCCAACACTAAATGAGTCATTTACTGGCAGGAAGCAGGAAGGACTGGTGTGCTGCCAGGGTCTTGTGCAAAATGATAAATAGAATCTGCTGGTGTCTCAGCAGAGCAATCATTTCTAAAGGCCATTGTGGGGATGGGAAATTTTGGTGCCCTAGCCCTCAGCCCTCCGAGTAAAGGTGAGGCGACCGGAGGCAAAGGAAAGCCAGGTATCCATACCTGTACCAGAATGTTGGTTCTACCTCAGGGGACAAGAAGCAAGTGGGCCATCATGATGAAGTCTAACGAACAAAACAATTATTCTTTATCCTGTAACAGCAATAATAATATTATAAGCCCATTAACATACATTACACCCACAGAATACATTTAGAGCCCTCTAAATAGCCATGGCTTCTGGGGTTTGCTAAGAGAGCTGGCTTCACAGAACCACAATTTCCAGCACCCTTAAACTACACTTCCCAGGCTGCCTTTCAAACACACAGTGTGGGTGTCAATTAATGGACAGTGGAATTGGTGCCCAATGGAGTGCTGAAACCATTCAGAACTGAAAGGAGTGGTGAAGATCACTGTTCTTCCTGCTTAGTACAGATCTAGGTACGTTTCAAGGAAGGCGGAAGGATAACCAGAAGATTCATGTTGAGGGGGGAACAGCGGGGGGTGAAGGGATGTATAGGCCCCACGGAAAGACCACCAGGTTGATAAACGGATGACACCAGTGCTTATGCAACACCCATCCTTCAATTTTTATAAGCTCACATTGTGCTGCTTAGCCCTGCGGCTTTGGGTCTAAGGTTGCCTGAGTTTGTGTACTGCAGACATGTCCCGGCAATGTTGGGATGTTGGGACTGCCTGTTGGCCTACAGATGACCTACTTTGCCTGCACAAAGCTTACACGTAGTTTAGATTATAACCAGCTTTACTTGGGCATTCATTCCAGTTGGTTTGTGGGGAGCACATCTTTCCCTCACTCCAAGGAACTACAATGGTACCTCGGGTTACATACACTTCAGGTTACATGCGCTTCAGGTTACAGACTCCGCTAACCCAGAAATAGTACCTCAGGCTAAGAACTTTGCTTCAGGATGAGAACAGAAATCATGCTCCAGCGGCGCAGTGGCAGCGGGAGGCCCCATTAGCTAAAGTGGTGCTTCAGGTTAAGAACAGTTTCAGGTTAAGAACGGACAAAAGACAAAAATTAAATACAGTTACAAATTTAGAAGTGGAAGGAAGGAATATACAGAACCCAGCTGAGATTAGAAATTGTTTCCAGAGGTACTTCAAACAATTATATACACAAGGAACACAGAAAGAAATTGATTTAGATCGATTTCTGAAAACAAATGGATTACAAAAAATCTCTCAGGAAAGTAAATCAATGTTGAATTATAAAATAACAGAACAGGATCCCCAAGCCAAACGGAGGACATAGATGATGCCTTCCTGGAACAGATGGCCAAGCATGCAAAAGGAAGGGAGATAGTAGTAATGGGGGACTTCAATTACCCGGATATTTGTTGGATGTCAAACTCAGCCAAGAGCATAAGGTCAAACAGATTCCTCACTGGCCTTGCAGACAACTTCATTGTCCAGAAAGTGGGAGAAGCAACAAGAGGAACAGCCATTTTAGATCTGGTCCTAACCAATGTTGATGACCTGGTTAGTGGGGTAGAAGTGGAAGGATCATAAGGCGCGAGTGATCATGCTCTTCTGAAGTTTACTATACAGCGGAAAGGAGCAGCCAAGCATACTAGGACTCAATTTCTTGACTTTAAGAAAGCTGACTTCATAAAACTTAGGGAAGTGCTGGGTGAGATCCCATGGACAGTAATACTAAAAGGAAAGGGAGTTCATGATGGCTGGGAGTTTGTTAAGAGGGAGATACTAAAAGCACAACGTCAGGCAATACCAATGAGACAGAAACATGGAAGGTGCCTAAAGAAGCCAGGGTGGCTATCTAAAGAACTTTTAACTGAGTTAAGATTAAAAAGGATGTGTACAAAAATGGAAAAGGGGGAAACCACCAAAGAGGAATTCAAACAAATAGCCAGCACGTGTAGACACAAAGTCAGAAAAGCTAAAGCACAGAATGAACTCAGGCTTGCTAGAGAGGTTAAAAGCAACAAAAAGGCTTTTATGGGTATGTCCGTAGCAAAAGGAAGAACAAAGAAACAGTGGGGTCACTCAGAGGAGAAGATGGTGAAATGCAAACAGGGGACACAGAAAGAGCTGAACTCCTCAATGCCTTCTTTGCCTCAGTCTTCTCCGATAAAGAAAACAATGCCCGACCTGAAGAATTTGGAGCAAATGATTCAGCAAAGGAAACACAGCCCAGAATAACTAAGGAGATAGTACAAGAATACTTGGCTAGTTTAGATGTATTCAAGTCTCCAGGGCCAGATGAACTGCATCCAAGAGTATTAAAAGAACTGGCAGATGTGATCTCAGAACCACTGGCAGTCATCTTTGAGAATTCCTGGAGAACAGGCGAAGTCCCGGCAGACTGGAGGAGGGCAAATGTTGTCCCTATTTTCAAAAAGGGGAAAAGAGAGGACCCAAATAATTACCGCCCAGTCAGTCTGACATCAATACCAGGGAAGATTCTGGAGCAGATCATTAAGCAAACAGTATGTGAGCACCTAGAAAGGAATGCTGTGATCACCAATAGTCAGCATGGATTTCTGAAAAATAAGTCATGTCAGACTAACCTGATCTCGTTTTTTTGACAGAATTACAAGCCTGGTAGATGAAGGGAACGCAGTGGATGTAGCCTACCTTGATTTCAGCAAGGCATTTGACAAGGTGCCTCATGATATTCTTGTAAAGAAGCTGGTAAAATGTGGTCTTGACTATGCTACCACTCAGTGGATTTGTAACTGGCTGACTGACCGAACCCAAAGGGTGCTCATCAATGGTTCCTCTTCATCCTGGAGAAGAGTGACTAGTGGGGTGCCACAGGGTTCTGTCTTGGGCCCGGTCTTATTCAACATCTTTATCAACGACTTGGATGATGGACTCAAGGGCATCCTGATCAAATTTGCAGATGACACCAAATTGGGAGGGGTGGCTAACACCCCAGAGGACAGGATCACACTTCAAAACGACCTTGACAGATTAGAGAACTGGGCCAAAACAAACAAGATGAATTTTAACAGGGAGAAATGTAAAGTATTGCACTTGGGCAAAAAAATGAGAGGCACAAATACAAGATGGGGGACACCTGGCTTGAGAGCAGTACATGTGAAAAGGATCTAGGAGTCTTGGTTGACCACAAACTTGACATGAGCCAACAGTGTGACGCGGCAGCTAAAAAGCCAATGCAATTCTGGGCTGCATCAATAGGAGTATAGCATCTAGATCAAGGGAAGTAATAGTGCCACTGTATTCTGCTCTGGTCAGACCTCACCTGGAGTACTGTGTCCAGTTCTGGGCACCACAGTTCAAGAAGGACATTGACAAACTGGAACGTGTCCAGAGGAGGGCAACCAAAATGGTCAAAGGCCTGGAAACGATGCCTTATGAGGAACGGCTAAGAGAGCTGGGCATGTTTAGCCTGGAGAAGAGGAGGTTAAGGGGTGATATGATAGCCATGTTCAAATATATAAAAGGATGTCACATAGAGGAGGGAGAAAGGTTGTTTTCTGCTGCTCCAGAGAAGCGGACACGGAGCAATGGATCCAAACTACAAGAAAGAAGATTCCACCTAAACATTAGGAAGAACTTCCTGACTGTAAGAGCTGTTCGACAGTGGAATTTGCTGCCAAGGAGTGTGGTGGAGTCTCCTTCTTTGGAGGTCTTTAAGCAGAGGCTTGACAACCATATGTCAGGAGTGCTCTGATGGTGTTTCCTGCTTGGCAGGGGGTTGGACTCGATGGCCCTTGTGGTCTCTTCCAACTCTATGATTCTATGATTCTAGGAGACAGAAGGTGCCATTCAGAATATGCAACTAGGTAAATCTCCAGGACCGGATGGACTGACCTCTAAATATTACAGATCCTTAAAAGAATGGTTGGTACAACCTTTGAAGGAAGTCTGTAACGAAATAATGGGTGGGAAAAGGGCACCAGAGTCGTGGAAAGAAGCGTATATTACACTTGTACCGAAAACAGAGACTGAAAAGACGCAACTTAAGAACTACCGCCTCATCTCATTGCTTAATGTGGATTATAAAATCTTTGCAGACATTTTGGCTAAAAGACTAAAAAAAGTGTTAATGGAAGAGATTCATAAAGACCAAGCAGGCTTTCTCCCGGGTAGACACTTGTGGATAATGTGAGAAACATAATCAACATCTTAGAAAAATTAGAAGTGAACATAAATACTAAGGCAGTTTTGATATTTGTGGACGCGGAGAAAGCTTTTGACAATATTTCCTGGAGCTTTATGAAGAAGAACCTACAGGGGATGGGAGTAGGCCAAGGCTTTGAAAACGGTATAAGTGCAATTTATTCAGAACAAAAGGCTAAATTAATTGTAAATAATGTGGTGACCGAAGAATTTAAAATAGAAAAAGGGACACGACAAGGTTGCCCAATCTCCCCATTGCTTTTTATATCGGTCCTGGAGGTTTTGCTGAATATGATTAGAAGGGACCAGTTGGTGAAAGGTATACAAGTCGGAGCTAAACAGTACAAATTGAGAGCATTTGCAGATGGCTTAGTATTGACGTTACAGGAGCCAGAATCTAGTACCAAAAGGGTTTTAGAACTGATTCAAGAATTTGGTCAGGTTGCAGGATTTAAACTGAATAAGTTAAAAACCAAGGTTTTAGAGAAAAACTTAACACCGATTGAGAGAGAGAGGTTTCAGAATGAGACAGGTTTAACAGTGGTTAAGAAAGTGAAATACCTGGGGATTAACATGACAGCAAAAAATGGGAATTTATTTAAAGACAATTATGAAAAATGCTGGGCTGAAGTGAAAAAAGATTTAGAAATTTGGTCAAATTTGAAGCTTTCACTGCTGGGCCGTATTGCTGCGATAAAAATGAATGCATTGCCTAGAATGTTGTTTTTGTTTCAAACATTGCAAATTGTGGACAAAATGGACTGTTTCAAGAAGTGGCAGAGAGATATTTCTAGATTTGTTTGGCAGGGCAAGAAGCCTAGAATAAAATTTAAAATACTAACAGATGCAAAGGAAAGAAGTGGATTTGCCCTGCCAGACCTTAAACTTTATTATGAATCAGCAGCTTTTTGCTGGTTGAAAGAATGGCTGCTTCTTGAAAACACAGACATTTTGGATTTAGAAGGTTTTAACAATGTATTTGGATGGCATGCATATTTGTGGTATGATAAGGTCAAAGCACATAAAGTATTTAAAAACCATATTGTTAGGAAAGCATTGTTCAATGTTTGGATAAGATATAAGGACCTATTGGAAAACAAAACCCCAAGGTGGCTATCACTGATGGAAGCGAAAGCTCTGAAAAAGCTCAATATGGAGGTCAAATGGCCGAAATATTGGGAAATTTTGGAACAAGATGGAGATAGACTGAAACTGCAGAGTTTTGAGAAATTAAAAAACAAAGTGTGAGACTGGCTTCATTATTATCAGATAATGGAGGCATATAATTTGGACAAGAAAATTGGCTTCCAGGTGGAAAAATCAAAATTAGAAACAGAACTGCTAGAACCCAAAACTAAGAATCTGTCAAAGATGTATAACTTGCTGTTGAAATGGAATACACAGGATGAAATGGTGAAATCAGCTTTGATTAAATGGGCACAAGATGTTGGACATAACATAATGATGGCTGACTGGGAACAGTTATGGACCACAGGTATGAAGTTTATGGCATGTAATGCCTTAAGAGAGAATATTATGAAAATGATATACAGGTGGTACATGACCCCAGTCAAGCTTGCAAAAATCTATCATTTGCCCGATAATAAATGTTGGAAATGTAAGGAAACTGAAGGTACATTCTTTCACCTTTGGTGGACGTGCCCAAGGATTAAGGCTTTCTGGGAGATGATTTATAATGAAATGAAAAGGGTATTTAAATATACCTTTCTGAGGAAACCAGAGGCCTTTCTCCTGGGCATGGTCGGCCAAATGGTGCTAAAGAAGGATAGAACTTTCTTTATGTATGCCACAACAGCAGCAAGAATACTTATTGCAAAGTATTGGAAGACACAAGACCTACCCACTCTGGAAGAATGGCAGATGAAGGTGATGGACTACATGGAACTGGCCGAAATGACTGGCAGAATCCGAGACCAGGGAGAAGAGTCGGTGGAAGAAGACTGGAAGAAATTTAAAGACTATCTACAGAAACATTGTAAAATTAATGAATGTTAGAATGATGTTAGAATGAAGTTAAGTGGTTTAAGCAGCAATGCTATAAAGGCGTATGTAAAAATGGACTGTTAACAGGTGAAAATCCAAAGTTATAATATATTAAGTTAAAGGACTAAGAGAAAATAAAGAGGGAAAGAAATTGCTGAATTAACTAACTGAATTGGAATACAAAAAAGGGAGGTATGAGGAGGTCAGGGAAGTAAGGAAATGAATGTAAGGTATGGAAAGACTGATGTATTTTTAAGTGTTTTTTATTCTTTTTTTCTGTATTTTGTATTTTTCTTGTATTTTTACTTTTGTCTTTTTTGTGTGTGTTTTTTGTTTTTTCTCCTGTTCTTTACGTATGTAATTCTTCTTTTTGAAATCTTAATAAATATCATTTAAAAAAAATAAAATAAATATTTTCATTTTAAAAAAAAAAAGCAACAACAAAAAACGGACCTCCGGAACGAATTAAGTACTTAACCCGAGGTACCACTGTATAAGGATACAATGCATGTCCACTCAGACTTACAGTAAGTTGCACTGCGTTCAATGGGGCTTATTCCTAGATCAGCCAATAGTAGAGAATCAAAGAAAAATAAAACCACTTCTCTTTACAGCTCCTGATTACTAAGCCTGCATCTCAATAAGATCCTAAAAGATTCAATGTTCCATCCATAGATTGTTTGGCCATCTGTAATGTTGTTCTTCACAGTCATCTACACGGCTTGTGCTGGTTTGGGCCCAGAGCGAGTCAACACATAGTCTGCAATGGTGGTTGGCAAGTAAGAGACAGGAAGGTAGAAGAACTTTGCATCCCAGCCTGGAGAGTAGCGAGTGCGAGGGGAGCAGGATGTCAGGGCATGTTCTATGCTGTCGGTGACCGGGTGAAGCTTGTCGCTGCAACCATCAAGGAGTTGTTGGAACGATTTGCAACCTGTGTGAGAGAAACAAACAAATGAACAGTTGGATCTGCAGCAACACAGGAGGCAAATTTAATCTTCTGAGCATTCTCCCTATGATAGCTAAATCAAAGGAGGAACATCTGGAACTATTTTGGATGCCAAAGAAAAGAACCTTCAGGTGCTTCCAGACTGCATTGCGAAATTTTGGCGAGTGCAAATTCAGAAGGAAAGCTGTGTGTCAGTTCGCTTATTGTTTCTTGAAGTGTAAATGAGATACAACTGCATTAAATGCAAATCGAACTGGCTTTCTCCCCCATCTCTACTCACATTGCTCAAAGTACTGCTGCCCATAAGTGTCTCTGATGTCAGAAGGTACCCGGCTCCATACAGTCTGAAAATACTCTACTAGTTTTGTGCAAATAGGTGTTTTGAAACCACCAGGTTCAATTATGCTGACTCGGACTCCAAAAGGATGGAGCTCTCTCCTGAATTGGGGAAGAAAAGTAAAGAATTATCATTTGTTACTGAGCCACAGTAATATTGCAGGTCAAGTTTTTGGATCCGTGGAAAGGAACACCTTTCTTTTTGAAAAGAAGGGGGGGGGGGAGGAGAGAGAAAAGAAGAGAAATGTAGTCCCCTATCTTTTGCCCTCTTGCGTGAGCCTGGCCCTGCTCTGCCCAGCAACTAAACACCACAGCAATGGTTGTACAGTGGTACCTCAGGTTAAGTACTTAATTCGTTCTGGAGGTCTGTTGTTAACCTGAAACTGTTCTTAACCTGAAGCACCACTTTAGCTAATGGGGCCTCCTGCTGCCGCCGCACCGCCGGAACACAATTTCTGTTCTCTGCACAATTTCTGACTAAACTGCTTCTGGCGAACCAGAGCAGCACACGGAAACACCGTTTACCTTCCCGCCGGAGCGGTACCTATTTATCTACTTGCACTTTGACGTGCTTTTAAACTGCTAGGTTGTCGGAGCAGGGACCAAGCAATGGGAGCTCACCCCGTCGCGGGGATTTGAACCGCCGACCTTCTGATCGGCAAGTCCTAGGCTCTGTGGTTTAACCCACAGTGCCACCCGCATCCCTCCTCAGACCCTCTTTATATATATATTAAAAAGTAGCAGCCATGGGTTTCTCCCAAACTCCCTTGTTTGTAGGGCTTTATTTCAGGGCGAACTCAGTTCCAGCACCTCTCTGGTGCCATTGCCATTCTGAGAGAATGAGGAAGGTGTTCATGGTGAGTTTGAGCACCTCTTTTTCTAGAAAAATAGCACTGCTTGTGAGGAAGAAGATTACAGGGCATGCAACCAGGAAAAGGTGCCACGCAGACTTTTGATCTTGATGCCATCAATTCAGCAAGTCGACACTTTGATAATTAAGTGGTATATAAATATCTGAAATATGCACATTTTAAACACCATAATCAACTTTTCTACAAATGACGTTGGGCTCTTCTATTCTCAAAGGCCTTTGCTGAGAATCCTCCGGAAAAACAATCTCTCAAAGGACCTGTTGATGGCATTTTACCATTGTACTGTGGAGAGTGTATTAACTTATGGTCTGTGCATGTGGTTTGGGAGCTGCACGGCCAGGGAAAAAACAATGCTGTCCAGGGTTGTAAAGACTGCAGAGAGAATAATTGGGTGCAGTCTTCCCACCTTAGATCAAATCTATGCTGTCAGGTGCCATAAGAAAGCTGCAGAGATAGCGCAGGATAGTGCGCACCCCGGAAATGATCTCTTTCAGCTTCTGCCTTCTGGAAGAAGGTATAGGGTTATAAAGACCAGACTAGCCGCCTGAGAAACAGTTTCTACCCAAATGCAATTCTGGTTTTAAACGCAGTATAAGGAGTCTTTATAGGAGTATATTGTATTTTAAAATGGGGTTTCAGAGTTTTTAGGGGGTTTTGAATGTAGATTTTCAATTTCATTGTTCTGTATGGGACAACGACAATAAAGATATTGCATTGTATTCTCCTAAGTGACACCAGCAACACCGCCAGGTAGGCTGGCCTAGGACCTAGACAAAACCATCTAGAGCAAGGGTCGGCAACCTAAGGCCCATGGGCCACAAGCAGCCCACGGGGGTTGTTTAACCAGCCCACGAGCCGGCCACGAACTGAGCCGCCCGCTCGGAGAGTCCCCGTGCTCCGTGCGGCACGGGCACTCGCTCCCGCGGTGCCAGAAATCACGTCTGCGCAGATGCTGGAAATCATGGGCACGCACTCACACACTCGTGACCCAGCCCACGCAGGGATCTCTGCTTGAGTGAACCGACCCAGGCTAGGTAAACCTTGCCGACCCCTGATCTAGAGCATGGACAGCAAAAGTGGACTGGGAGCCACACATCCTATCTCAGGCTTGCAAATTCAAAAACCCTAATTTTTTCATAATTTTGTTTGATATGTATTTTGTTGTAATGTTCATGAAATGAAGTACTAACAAGAATTCTTTCAAAGCATTAATTCTATCATGCAATAGCAAGCTATCACTCAGCTTTGTAACACACGTTTAAAAGAAAAGCCTGGTTAGCTTTTCAGACACCTTTTAATTGAATGACTTTCTAAAGAAATGCCTGAAGTAACTGATAATATAGTTTGAAATTTTGTTTAATCTATTATATTTCCCAGAATATAACAGAAGACCCATTTATCCTAATTAGAACCCAATAAGGCAGACATGTATGTACAAATATTATTTTAAAATGTGATCCCACTGAGATCCCAAGAAAAAAAAAATGGAAATATTTTTAAATTGTTTTTTAAAAAAATAATTTTATAACTTAAATTTTAATGTTAAACTAAGTCCATCATACATCATATTAAATCCCATGCAGTTCTGAAGAGATTGGTGTTTTCGCTTTTGACGTATCTCAATTCTGGTCTGAGCTTTTAAGGTTTTTGTGTAGTCTGGCAAGGCCAAAATTGTCAATTTTTTCAAATTTCAAACCCTCATAACTCAAAAATGGGATGAGATAAAAAATTAAAAATTCAGTTATAAACTTAGTTTTGTTCAATCAACAAGTGTACAAATTATGAAGATAATTGGGTGCCATGGGGTGAAAAAGTTGGATCACTTGATATGGAATGACCCATCTGGTGGTTGCATGTTGCAAAAGAAGAAACTACAGAGCTTGTTTTTACCTCAGGCTGTCAGAGAAGGCTTCCGCACCAAACTTGGATGGGCAGTAACCACCTCCAAAGCAGGCCAGGCGTCCCATCGAACTGCACACGTTGACCACCCTCCCTCTGGCTCTCCTCACCAGGGGCACCATGTGTAGCGTCACATCAATCATCCCCAAAAGGTTGACATTGATCACCTTTGCAAAGTCATCTTTGGTCAGCCATTCGTTGGGAGCTGCTGGGATCCCTATGCCCGCATTGTTCACCAAGCCCCAGAGCCCTGTGTGAAGAAAGAAGGCATGTTCATCCTCTTAGGCAACCTTAGCAGAGCTCAATAAAGTTGGAAATAAGCTAATCACATGCATAGATTGTTTGTGTTTACTTATGGAATTCTTCCTTTTATTATTTTTTCTGAATTGTTATGCTTATTCTTCATTTCACATGTTGTGAGCCACTTGGGGCACAATTTTGTGGGAACGTGGCCTACAAATGAATACAGAGAGGCAATTCTAATCCCTGGTCCCACCCAGGGCTGGATTTGGGTTTGATATGGCCCTAAGCTACTGAAGGTAATGGGGCCCTTTATATGTCCTGCCGTCCTTTGTCAACAACAAATAGTAGCTGTTTTTTTGTGCTGAATAGAATCATAGAATCATAGAGCTGGAAGAGACCACAAGGGCCATCGAGTCCAACCCCCTGCCAAGCAGGAAACACCATCAGAGCACTCCTGACATATGGTTGTCAAGCCTCTGCTTAAAGACCTCCAAAGAAGGAGACTTTGAATATATGCTATATGGTAATTTATGGACCTAATAGGTATCTAAAGCCATTTGCACATAACAAAATATGTATTTTATCAAAGTAATTGATATAGATATGAGCAAACCAGAGATATTTTAGAGAACAGGCTAGCAGGCGGGGCCCGTTACTTACATCATAGGAGCCTACACAACCCAAAACACTGTTGCTGTATGTAGGTTTTATTTTATTTGTTTTTTATCTTATATTTTGGAAATGTACATCCAGTTGTTGTTTTCCTTTATATTTTTGTGGCCCCCAAGAGAGTGGGGCCCTAAGCTATAGCTTGTTTAGCCTATACGTAAATCCCGTGCTGGTCCCACCAATAGCACAGAGGCACCACAAGGAAGGTAGAGATTCACCTTTGCTTCCAATGCACCCTTTCACCCACTCTGTCGCGGCCGCCACACTCTCTGTGCTGCTCACATCCAGAATGGTGGTTTTCAAGCGCTCTGAGGTGGCCTTGCCCAGCTGCTCTGCCCCCTTCTGCGTGAGACAGGCTGCCAGCACCCGCAGACCCCGGGCATCCAGCTGCCTGGCAAGTAGGTTTCCAAAGCCAGAGTCACACCCCGTGATGAAGACATATTTCTCCGTCAGGTTCTCCACCGTCTGTCTCTCCTGGTACCATCGGCGAAGGAAGTAAAGCCCCAGCAGGGCAGCCAGGTAGAGCCACATGGCTGAAACCTGCAGGGAAAAAAGAATTCAAGCATTAGGAAGCATACACGCCCCTGGCAGGACTTGGGGGAGGAGATTTCTAATTCCTGCTCCACCAAGAAGTTCACTGGAAGACCTTTTATGTTTCCACCGCTTTATTTAGCCTTCCTCGCAGTGTTGTTGAGGGGAAGGAGAAATTTTGCATGAAGCAAAGAGCTGCTTGGAGCAGAGGCAGGCTAAAAGAAGTATAAATAATAGCTCTAGCTAGCTGCTTATTATCTGAACAACTAAATAAAGTGGAAGAGGACAATCCTATACACATGTATATACATAAGAAGTGGGTGGCGCTGTGGTTTAAACCACTGAGCCTCTTGGGCCTGCTGATCAAAACGTCGGCGGTTCAAATCCCCGTGACGGGGTGAGCTCCCGTTGCTCGGTCCCAGTTCCTGCCAACCTGGTGGTTCGAAAGCATGTCAGCGCAAGTAGATAAATAGGTACTGCTGCGGCGGGAAGGTAAACGGTGTTTCTGTGTGCTCCGGCACTCATCATGGTCCTCCGTGCGCCAGTAGCGGTTCAGTCATGCTGGCCACATGACCCACAAAACTGTCTGTGACAAACGCCGGCTCCCTTGGTCTGAAAACGAGATGAGCGCCACAAGCCCACAGTCGCCTTTGACTGGACTTAACCGTCCAGGGGTCCTTTACCTTTCACCTCTATATACATAAGCAACACTGAGTTCAAATATTGTGCATTAGCTCAAATATTAGCTCAAATATTGACATTGGCAGGCAACAGGTCATATGCCTTATTTTGTCATTAATGCGCCACATATTGTTCAAAGTCCGATCCCCGATTTGTTTTGTGTGATCAAACTCTCCCAACTGAGTTTCACTAAGTATTTTGCAGATGATGGACACCAATGTTTTTGATGCTGGGTTTTTATTAAGTTTTCAAAGGAGATCAGAGATTTATGGTTAGGATGGGAACAAGGACCCAGAGATGAACAGAGACGAATAGAAAGTCTCTACAGAGGGTGGTGAATACAGCACATGATTTCATGGGCTGTCCCTTGAGTCCACTAGATGACATCACAAGGGATCGTTGCCTTAGGAGAGCAAGAAAAATTCTCAGGGATGACTCACACCCCAGCCATCACCCCTGATTATAGAAGTATAATCAGTTGTACCAACAGGCTAAAACAGGGGTAGGCAACCTAAGGTACGTGGGCTGGATGCAGCCCAATCGCCTTCTCAATCCAGCCCGCGGACGGTCCGGGACTCAGAATGAGTAGAATGTGTCCTTTTATTTAAAATGCATCTCTGGGTTATTTGTGGGGCCTGTCTAGTGTTTTTACGTGAGTAGAATGTATGCTTTTATTTAAAATGCATCTCTGGGTTATTTTGGGGGCATAGGAATTTGTTCATTTTTTTTTTCAAAATATAGTCCGGCCCCCCACAAGGTCTGAGGGACAGTGGACCGGCCCACGGGTGAAAAAGGTTGCTGACCCCTGGTCTAAAAACTAGCTTTTATCCATGGGCTGTTAGGCTGTTGAACGGAAAATAACATAACGAAAATGACTTGCAAGGTGGTGTGTTGTTCAATAAGCACACAGAGTGCAACGAGACTGAGTGTTTGGGGGGGGAGGGGCTTGTTTAATTTCATTGTACACAGGTTGTACAATGACAATAAAGGTATTTTTATTATATAGACTAGAGTATCGAGTGCAAATGTTGCCAACACACCCTAACAAGCTGATCAGAGCTTACATCCCTAATGATTTGCATGTAGGGATGTAAGAAGGCATAACTTTATTTCCTGTTCTGTACTTTTCACATTCAGTACTGTTTCTGTTCAGGTGCAAGGTCATCTTCCATCAAATATTATGTTATTTGTCTAACTTTCTGCTGTTGCAAAATGACGTAATTAACTAACTATTATTGTTGGCATCCATTTGTGTGGAATATGTCTCCAGGGATCGAGTCAAACTGCTGTGTTCGTAGCACTATGACCTCTCCATGTCACTAGCCCAGGCGATGTGACTTCGCAACACAAGACAAAGCCTATTTCAGAATACCAGATGCTGGAAACAAATGGGAGGGACTCCTTGCTCTGTTGACTGGCAGTGACTTATTAACTAGTGAACCCTGCAATCACTGGATCAACTCAGAAATAAAGAGAGCTCAGCGTTAGCACCTCGCAGGTCATAACTGATTTCCTCTTCAAAAATAATAAGGAAGTTTTACTGAGTTTCAGAAAATACATCTTACAAAAACCCCTCATCAATAACAAATTACCCAGTTTGCTCAAGTAGGACACAATGGTCCATATTTTCTGTTGCAACTGATCCAATTTCTTCCAAATCCATGTTAAAAGCTGCAAGCCCAGCACAAGATGGAATGAGGTTAGTTTCTTAGGTTGCAAGTTCTTTCAATGTTCATGAGAAACAGAGCCAGTTGCACAACACATGAAACTGCTATGTCAAGTAATGAGACTAATTTATTGAAGCAGAAATGCCTTATTTTCTCACAGGGGCACCACAGATGAAACAGGGGCCAACAACACTAAAACCCCTCCAAGAAAGTGCAGATGAAGACAAATTCATGTGATTACATGTTTGTGGTGTTAGATGCCGTCGGTGTAAGAGCTTAAAAGTGTTTTCTCCTCTCTTAATTAAAACAGAAGATAGAGGCATTTTGGCCCACCAGCCTAACTGTTCCAAGGTCTAATTCACAGGCTTGTTTTCTGGGAACAAACTGTTCCCATCAAATGTCACTAGATGTTTTGTAGTTGATGGACACCAATCTTTTTGATGCTGTGTTTTTACTAAGTGCTAAATTCTTATCTCCTTCTGAGTAATAAATGGGAAGAAATATGAGACTGGGGTCGATCTTGTACCTTTTAAGGTTCTGAACTTTTTCTGGAAACGTTTCTAGGCCTTTCAGGGTTGCAAAGGAAGAAGAAATTCAGGAAGTGAAGCTTCCCCCCCCCCTCCCCCAGCCTGAAGCTTGAGAAAAGTGTCACCTACTGAATATTAGCTTGAAATAAAGTTGTTATGAGCACCTGTTAGTGGGGACAGGAAGTTACTATCATGTATAATTGAAAAGGGAAGAGACCGACCTGCAGTTGGTTAGAGGAAAGGCTCTCAGCTTCAGTTGTGCGGCAGGAAAAGCAATGCTTCCTTCTCCCATTTGCAGTTGCTCCTTATCTGCCTGTTGCTGTTTTTCACACTCCACTGGCTGCAAAGGGAGCTCCTCCCTTCTGGCAAGGATTGCTTTAACCCAGTTAGGTGCTGAGATTTACTGCCTTCTTTAAACTAACTGGGGAATCTGTTGGTGAAGGAAACACACCAAATCCCTCCCATTGCAGAGCTGCGTGCCACAGATTCAGCCCCTTTCCCCTGTGTTCTGTTCATGTATGGATAGAGCAAATAAATCATTTGTCTAGAGCAGGAAGAAAGCCTGGGGTTGAGGTTATCTTTCTTGCAGAAGCCCATCCCTCCTGCTGATAGAAAGATGGGCAGAGTGCTTGCAAAATTACATTTCACCTAGAGGCTGGACCCGGCCAGCTTGCTTTGGTGCATGAATTCTAATACAGTGGTACCTCGGTTCGAGGACGAAATATCTTCCAGAAACCCATTTGGCTTCAGAAATGTTCAAAAGCCGAGGCGCAGCTGAAGGAAACACAGCCTGAGGAACTGCCCTCCACCTTGGCCCTGTTGATAAAAAGCAAGTCCAGAATGATAGACTAGAATTATGTCCACTGAGCTACAATTCCCAGCACCCTTAAACTACACTTTCCAAGCTGTTAAAATGATATAATAGCTCAGGACCGCAATACCTAAAGGACTGCCTCTTTCCACATTGTAATAAGAATTTTAAGGTCTTAGATATATAATAAATGTTCATAAATGTACCAAGCAAACACGTACATAAATATATAAACCACATTGTCTGAAGCAGCACAGGAAGACAGTCCTGAAATCATTTTGACTCCCAAGTCGACCAAATGCTTCTCTGCAAGGAGGGAGGAGGTGAAAAAAAACCTTCCTTGTTACAGGAATTTAGTAATTACCATCTCAAAGGAGGGGATGACAGACTACCAGGAAAGGCAATCAGATAAGGCATTATCAGATAACCTGGCAGGCAGGAAAAACAAGAACATTCAAATTTCTTTTATAGACTACCTTTTCTGTGATGTAGGTATGATGTATGGAGGGGTGATCTTGAGCTCCAGGGCAGGGAATTTAGAATGTCTATATAAGGCCTTGCGCACCATTGTTCGAGGTCCTCCTCCTTTCCTGCCTGTGAGGGGAGCACCCTGTTGCAACAGATCAATAAAGATCAGGCTTACTAGCTGCTTTGCTTCTCAATATTCTCTGGCTGGCCTCTGTTATTCTCTCCTACCAATAGGGAACCTACGTAAGGACTCTATAAGGGCTCTTCCATACCCCATAAGGGGGAAAGGACAGATTTATTTTGCCTACAACAACATGAACCTACCTGGACCCTGAGATCATCTTCCGAGGCCCTCCTTTGTGTGCCCCTCCTCAAAAGGTTCAGAGGGTGGCAACATGAGAACAGGGCCTTCTCAGCTGTGGCTCCCCATCTGCAGAATCCTCTCCCCAGGGAAGTTCATTCCTTCATTATACATCTTTAGGCACCAGGCAAAAACATTCCTTTTCAACCAGGTCTTTGGCTGATCTGATTTACATCCTATGCCCTTTTAAAATGAGCTGGGGGGGGGGGCTATTGGTGTGTTTTTTTATTGTCATTGGGTCTCTTGTGGTTTTATATTATTTTATTCTGTGAACCACTCGGAGACACCTGGGTATAGGGTGGTATATAAATACCGTATTTTTTGCTCTATAAGACTCACTTTTTCCCTTCTAAAAAGTAAGGGGAAATGTGTGTGCGTCTTATGGAGCGAATGCAGGCTGCACAGCTATCCCAGAAGCCAGAACAGCAAGAGGGATTGTTGCTTTCACTGTGCAGCGATCCCTCTTGCTGTTCTGGCTTCTGAGATTCAGAATATTTTTTCTTGTTTTCCTCCTCCAAAAACTAGGTGCGTCTTGTGGTCTGGTGCGTCTTATAGAGCGAAAAATACGGTAATTATAAAATAAGAATAATATAAGAGTATATTGACATAGTGTGGATGTCAATAAACTGGAGTGTTGAAACCATTCAGAACTGAAAGGAGTGGTGAAGATCAGTGTTCTTTCTTGCTTAGGACAAATCTAGGTACGTTTCAAGGAAGGGGAAAGGGTAACACCCCTCACCACTTCATGTTGAAGGGAAAAGTGAGGAGGGGTGATGTATAGGCCCCGTGGAAAGACCACCAGGTTGATAAACTGATGACACCAGTGCTTGTGCAACACCCATGCGCTGCTCCTTCAAGTTTTATAGGCTCACATTTTGCTGCTTAGCCCTGCGGCTTTGGGTCTAAAGTTGCCTGAGTTTGTGTACTGCAGACATGTCCTGGCAATTGCTGAAACAGAGGAATGTTGGGACTGCCTGTTGGCCTCCAGATGACCTGCCTTACTCGCACAAAGCTTACTGACAGTTTAGATTATAACCAGCTTTAATTGAATATGTGTGTTCCAATTGGTTTGTGGGGAGCACATCTTTCCTCCGCTCCAAGAAACTACAGGTTACCCCTAGCATCCTTAAACTACAGTTCCCAGGATTTTTGTGGGGAAAGGAGACTAAAGTGAAGAGTTCTGTTTGTTTCTTTACATCTGGTTCTAAGTCAATTCCAAACTTTGCAAGAATGATTCCAAATAAACCTCCTTAGAACCAGATAAGTGGGGAATGAAAGAAGATGTTTTATCTTTTAACACCACTTATAACTCCTTCAAGACTCCTTGGCTGGAGAGTAAGGTAAAGGTGTGGCAGAAAGTGTCTGGCCACTCAGTCTCACAGTAGGTGGCACTGAGTTCAATAAGGCTTATTCCTAGATAAATGGGTAGTAAAGTTTTGAGTCTAAGCTGCATCAGCCAATCACCAATAATAAAAGAAAACTATCTGTAACCTCTGGTACCTCTGTGTGGGATGCAGTCCACTGAGAGCAGTCAAGTACAACATTCCATGCGGAAATGCGGAGAATGTTTGCTGCCACTCTCTCTTTTTTCCATCTTCTTTTCATCCTGCGAACTTCCTGGAATGAACTGGCTGCCAGCCAAGCAGTCCTCCAAGTCAACTCTCTTATAGTGCTCTGCCTGATCTTGAGTAAAGTTTCTTTTTTCCCCTTATGAATAAGACTGTGGTGTCTTTATTCTTTTAGGAGGGATTTAAAATGGGATCTTACCAGGAACATACAATTCAATCTGAGGGAGACTGAATTGCAACCAGAGTTCTGCTGTGCGTGAGAAGGGGAATGTAAACTCTGCCAAGTAAAGGAACTTGCTAGCACAAATTAAAAGGCAAAGGACCCTTGACAGTTAAGTCCAGTCGCAAACGACTCTGGGGTTGCGGCGCTCCTCTTGCTTTACTGGCTAAGGGAACTAACATTTGTCCGCAGACAGTTTTTCCGGGTCATGTGGCCGGCATGACTAAGCCGCTTCTGGCAAAACCAGAGCAGCGCACAGAAACGCCGTTTACCTTCTCACCGGAGCGGTACCTATTTATCTACTTGCACTTTGACATGCTTTCGAACTGCTAGGTTGGTAGGAGCAGGGACCGAGCAACGGGAGCTCACCCCGTCGCAGGGATTCGAACCGCCGACCTTCCGATCGGCAAGCCCTAGGCTCTGTGGTTTAGACCACAGCTCCACCTGGCGTCCCAATAGTGCAAGTTAGGAAGGATATTAATAAACAATATATTGTCTCCTGCCACCCTGAGCATTCCCACACTCTGCCCATTCCACTTGTTGTGGGGACAAGGCAGGTCATTTTTAGGAAAGGAAAGGAACCATTTTGCTGAGCTCCAGACCCTTATTTTATATAGCAGCAGCCAAGGGTTTCTCCTTTACTAAAGCTGAAATCAGAGCCCCCACTTACATTGAAGAAAGCCCCACTGATTTCAGTAGCCTTGCTGCCCCAATCTAGCTTTCCATCCCTCATGGAAAATGAAATCCAAGCCCAGCTTGAATGGAAATGTTGTAAAAAGAAAATACAGTGGTACCTCGGGTTAAGTACTTAATTCGTTCCAGAGGTCCGTTCTTAACCTCAAACTGTTCTTAACCTGAAGCACCACTTTAGCTAATGGGGCCTCCTCCTGCCGCTGCGCCACCGGAGCATGATTTCTGTTCTCATCCTGAAGCAAAGTTCTTAACCCGAGGTACTATTTCTGGGTTAGTGGAGTCTGTAACCTGAAGCGTATGTAACCCTAGGTACCGCTGTACAATATCAAAGTTCAGAATGCGGTTGGAAAAGCCGGGAATTGGCAACCAAAGAGACAAAGCGAGGTAGTTGCAACTGGGTTCCTCCAGCTGAAGAGAAAGGAAGAACCTCACCTACAGGTGGTGACTGGCACTTGGTTGGGTTACATACAGGTTACATGGCAAAGGGGTGCAAAAGGAAGAGACACGGGTGCAAAGAAGTTTCCCTGCTCCGGTTCCTCCAGCGAGCGCGCTTCCGGGGCGCTCGGAGCCGCAGCAGGAGGGGAACTTCGGGTGCCTCAGCCGCTTTCCTCGCAAACTTTATTCCCTTGGGGAAAACACCCCAAGCCCCCCTGCCCCCAGCAGCTCGACTCCATCAGGTCAAAGGGAGCACCAGCGACGGCCTCTGTAGACCTGGCCCAGGAACGTAGCTAGGGGTGTGTGGCGCGCCTGGACTTTGGCATGCTGCCTGTAAAAGTAAGCTCCGCCTGGGCTGGGCACCCCCTCCCCCAGCTATGCTACTGGATCCCAAGGTGGTTCACAACATAAAAATGCAAAATAAAAACACAATAAGCGCAATAAAAACAAAAACTGTTCTAGGGCCTGGCTTTGACAGCCTGACTCTCCACCAGGGTGGGTTCTCTATGTCTCTTATCAGTCAGAGGAAAATGAGTGGAGGCAGGAACCAGTGGAAGGAAAGCAAGGAAGATCTTGACTTTCCTGTTGTGCCAGAGACTCCCCACCCCGGCAAGGAGGCGAGGACTCACCACGAGGGTTCTTCTTCTTTGGCGGTCACTCGTAGCCAAGGAAGATTGTCTTTCATAAACACGGTTTTAACAATGAGACCGTAAATGATCCTTCCACAGTGGGGATATTGGTTTCCGAGCAGGAGTTGGATTTGCCAAGTGTGCCTTCCTTCCTTGGAGATTGTTAAGCAGAGGTTGGATGGACATCTGTTATGGATGCTTTAGCTGAGATTCCTGCATTGCAGGGGTTGGATTACATGGCCCTTGGGGTACCAGCCAACTCTACAATTCTGATTCTATATTTTTTTCTTGTTGCACCATTTATGACCATTTCTAGGCCATGTGACTCAAAAACTTGCCTGACACGGCATGTCCATTTAGACTGAAGTCCCATGTATTTTTTTCCTGGGTAAATGAGTGGTAAAGCATTGCAGTTTCAGCTGTATCAGAGAATAGTTCAGAATAATAATAATAAATCACTTCTCCTTAAGGTACTGATGACCAAATCTGCCTCTCATTAGGATCCTAAAATATGCAATTAGACTTGTTTTCCATCCACAGCTTGTTGGCTCATTTGGACAACTGTGTAATGCCCAATGGTTATGCCTCCCCAACGACCACCCACCCCTGGTAATCCTGAGGCAGCAGCGGCTTCTTTGGATCTCAAACTTTTAGGCAGTAGAAGCAAACTTTATTAACTACTATCATAATAAGCAAAGAAACAGCAACAGGTGCTAATATACAATTTAAGTACAGTCGTACCTTGGTTGCCAAACGCTTTGGAACTTGTACATTTCGGCTCCTGAACAATCGAAAACCGGAATGTTTTTAAAATGTCCAGTGCGGCTTCCGATTAGCTTCCAATTGGCTTCAGGAGCTTCGTTTGGGGGAGCACTGGCAGGGGAGGAGGAACTGGTGGGGTTCACCAGACACGATGAGTTCGCTCAGACTAAAATCAGGGAACTCAGAGATGGAAAGGGGGGAAATGGGGGTTTCAAGGAAAAAGGAGGGCTCTTGCACTACAAAGGGGCACTGTATGTGCCGGGAGAGCCATTGAGGGCAAAAATCCTCAGCTCCATGACAACCCCACAGCTGGGCATTTTGGGCAGCATAAGACCATGCTACTAGTCACTAGACAGTTCTGGTGGCCCAAGGTAAGGGAGGGTGTACGCAAATATGTCTGAGGGTGCGGCAGGTGTCAGAGGGCCAAAGGGGAAAGAGCAGCACCAGCGGGGTTACTGGAACCCTTACCGACACCGGGGAGGCCCTGGGAGGTGGTGTCCATTGATTTTATGACAGATCTGCCCAAGTCAAGGGGAAAGACAGCGGTGATGGTGGTGGTCGATCTACTGACCAAAATGTGTCACTTCGTGGCCTGCTCCCATGCGGTGTCAGCCGAGGAGACAGCCAGGCTGTTTGTGGATCACATATTTAGGCTGCATGGGACTCCACTGAGGGTTGTATCTGATCACGGAAGACAGTTTACCTCGTGATTCTGGCGTAAACTCATGAGTCTGCTGCAGGTAGAGGTGAGCTTCTCAACGGCTAGGCACCCAGAAACCAACGGGCAGGCCAAGAGAGCGAACAGCATATTGCAGCAGTACCTATGCTGCTATGTCAGTGAGAGGCAGAATGATTGGGTGGAGAAATTGGCACTTGCTGAGTTTGCGTATAACAACGCTGAACATGTGTCCACGGGGATGAGCCCCTTTATGGCCAACTACAGGTGTCATTCCAGGGCTTTCCCAGGGCACGGAGAGGAGGAATGGAGTGTGCCAGCTGCAGAGCAATTTGCAGAAGAGATGGAGGCTTTGCACCAACAACTACAGCTAAATTTGGAGAGGGCGAAGGAAGTCTATAAAAGGCAGGCAGACAGGCACCGCAGGCCAGGGGAGGTCATACAGGTGGGGGACAGGGTGTGGTTGTCATCCCAGGGGTTGCCCTTAAAAGGGGGGTGCAGCCTAGATGGCTGGGGCCCTTTGAGGTAATCCAGCAGGTCAACCCAGTGACTTTCAGGCTGAAATTGCTGGACAGCATGAGGATACATCCGGTGATTCCATAGGTCCCTGCTTTCGCATTACAGGGAGGGGCAGGGATTCTCAGGGAGGGAGGAAGGGGTGTCCACCCATCCACATGCAGAGGAGAGGGAACGTTGTAATGAAGCAACGGAAATACTTGATTCCAGGTGGAGAGGGCACCAGGTAGAGTACTTGGTGGCCTGGGAGGGAGAACCCAGCTCAGAAAACACGTGGGTTCCCGCAGGATCCATCACAGTGGAATATCTGGTGAAGGAGTTCCATGCTTTGTACCCACATAAGCCTAAACCCCAAGCGAGGTTCTTGAAGGAGGTGTTCGGACCCACGGATGACGAAGGGGACTTTGTAGGTTTCCCATCTTCAGGGGAGGAGGAAGGCTGCAGGGACGAGGTCGGGGAATTGTCCGAAGGAGAAGAATCTGACTGGGACGTCCAACCAGCTGGAAGGGACCCGAGAGGATGGGAAACAGTTTTTGAATCCACGGAGGAGGAGGACTGTTCTTTCCGGGGTTTTCCTGCATCACCCGCCAACGCTCGAGTTGAGGAGATGGTTAGAGACCTTACCAATGAGGAGGGGGGTCTTGAGGAGGAGGTGGATGTCAGGGAACTGCCATCAACTCAGAAAGCGGCGGAAAGGCAGATGGATTACAGAGAACCTCCAAAAATCGTGGGAAGAAGCACTTCCTCAGCGGAGGAAGGAAGCCACACCTCTAGTGGGGAGGAGCTGCAGGGTTCGGAGGAGGCAAGGCAGTGCCAGGACACCTTGCCTGAGCAAAGCGGAAAGGAGGGAGGTCTCCCTTTACCCAAGCCTTCCTTGCGCAGTAGGCTTTCGCGCAGAGAGGGGAGGCGTCGGCTGGGGGTCAAGAAACTACTCTGCTGGGGAAAGTTTAAGGACCGCCCACTCTCAGATTCTGCTAGTGAGTGAGCAAGACATGGAATAGAGGCATTCTGCAGTGTAAAGGTTTTAGCACTAATAATAAAGCTTTTGAAAAGACCAGTAAGGCATGTTGCTCTCGAGCAACCACCTGATAGCAATAACATACAGTATAAGCTAAACTGAAAACAGGAACACCATCTACTGGCTTTCCCTTTGGCAATATAACTAATATTTTTCTTCGAAGCAATGTATACTGCTTGCAAAAGTTTGCTTGTTTGTTGCCTTTTCTATTTTGCATAAACAAGCAAAATAAAAACGTAAACATCAAGATGCAATTAGGCTTGTGTTCCATCCACAGATTGTTGATTCATTTGGACAACTGTAAAGGTTTTTCTTCAAAGCAATCTATACAGCTTGAGCAGGTTTGGGCTGAATGCAGCTCGCCACGAAGTCAGCGATGGACGTTGGAAAGTAAGAGGCAGGAATGTACAAGAGCTTTGCATCCCATCCTGCAGAGTAGCGAGTGTGAGGGGAGCAGGATGTCAGGGCATGTTCTATGCAGTCGGTGACCAGGTGAAGCTTGCTGTTGGAAGTGTTAAAGGTATCTTGGCCAATTTTGAAATCTGTGTGTGAGAAATATGAAGCAAAACAGAAGTTAGTGCTGTAAATGTAGGGGGTAACCTAAATCTTTTGGGAGCTGAATGGACTCTGGGCTGCATCAATAGGAGTATAGCATCTAGATCAAGGGAAGTAAGAGTGCCACTGTATTCTGCTCTGGTCAGACCTCACCTGGAGTACTGTGTCCAGTTCTGGGCACCACAGTTCAAGAAGGACACTGACAAACTGGAACGTGTCCAGAGGAGGGCAACCAAAATGGTCAAAGGCCTGGAAACGATGCCTTATGAGGAACGGCTAAGGGAGCTGGGCATGTTTAGCCTGGAGAAGAGGAGGTTAAGGGGTGATATGATAGCCATGTTCAAATATATAAAAGGATGTCACATAGAGGAGGGAGAAAGGTTGTTTTCTGCTGCTCCAGAGAAGCGGACACGGAGCAATGGATCCAAACTACAAGAAAGAAGATTCCACCTAAACATTAGGAAGAACTTCCTGACAGTAAGAGCTGTTTGACAGTGGAATTTGCTGCCAAGGAGTGTGGTGGAGTCTCCTTCTTTGGAGGTCTTTAAGCAGAGGCTTGACAATCATATGTCAGGAGTGCTCTGATGGTGTTTCCTGCAGGGGGTTGGACTCGATGGCCCTTGTGGTCTCTTCCAACTCTATGATTCTATGACTGGTTAGCTTCTAGATACCTCTCCCTAGAAGAACTAAATCGATCTGTTCAGGCTTCTGGGATAGCTGCGCAGCCTGCATTCGCTCCATAAGACGCACACACATTTCCCCTTACTTTTTAGGAGGGAAAAAGTGAGTCTTGTAGAGCAAAAAATACGATAAATCATAGCAGATGCATCTGGAACTATTTTGGAGGCTTCAAAACAGAACACCTTCTCAAAAGATTTAAATCTACAATGATGAACCTGTCCATTTTGGTTTCTCTCTGTTTCAATATCTCCAAAATCTTTGAGTTTGGTTCTCCTCATTTCAGTTTATGATTTTTGAAAGTCATCAGCATTTCAGTTTTCACAATATACACATTTTCGCAAACATTATTTCCTTGCGTAGTGCATTTTTGTTTATTGTGGTCAATTTGCTTAGTGCGTTTTTGTGTATACCTTTGATGCCAATTTCTCTCTAATATGCACATTTTTGCACACATTGTTGATTTATAGAACTAGTTGCTAAATTTAGAGGAGTTTGAATTCCTAAGCAGAGCTATGTATTGGTTAATGTATTGCTTCATGAGTGTGAATTGGGAAAGTTTGCAGGAAAATGCAAACCATGCTGAAATCCCCTCCATGTCTACTCACAGTTCTCCAAGTACTGTTCCCCATAGACTTCTTTGATGTCAGACGGCACTCGGTTCCATACTTTCTTTAAATTCTCTACTGCTTGTGTGAAAATGTTTGTTTGGAAACCACCAGGTTCAATAATGCTGACTTGGACTCCAAAAGGATGGAGCTCTCGCCTGAAATGCAGAGGAAGAAACATCATTGCCTACTGAGTCATAGGTCAGGAATGCAGGTCAGGAACTTGGGTCCATGGATAGGAACATCTTTCTTTTAAAGAAAAAGAAATCAAAAATTGAGGAGAAAGAAAAGATGGGAAATTCAGCTCCCCTGCCTTCTGCCTCTTGCAGGAGCCAGGATACTCCCTACCCAGGAGAGGATTGTGTACGACACAGCACCAGTTGTATTAAGAGACAGTCATGAGGACATGCTTCAAAGGGGGAAAGTTGCTGCAGAGAGCAAGGGGCCTTTTCTGCCAGGGCTGCTTCCCACCCTCCTCCCTGCAGCCTCTGCCATCTCTGCCCAGTCTTCTTGTTAAGAGGGAAAAGGTCACTTGCATCAAAGGAACAAGAACCTGTTTTTTGGGTTCTGGGACCCTGTGTTCTAAAAAAGGAGCAATTAAGGGTTTTGCCAAACCTCCTTTGTGCAGAAAAAGATTACAGTGCAAACAACCATGAGAAGATGTCACACAGAATTTCTCTCGAAAAGCTACACATTCACAGCTTAGCTGTTGGCATCAAGAGAGAATGGAGTGTGCCTCTGCGGGTGAAGTCAAACCACAGGGTTAGCAGCCCCAAAGTGACCTCCCTGCTACGTGAGCCTGGGCATTGCATATCTACAGATAACTGCTCAGTCCCACACTTTGATAATTAAGTGGTACATAAATAGTTGGAAGGGACATGGGGTGAGCTCCTGTTGCTCGGTCCCTGCTCCTGCCAACCTAGCAGTTCAAAAGCACGTCAAAGTGCAAGTAGATAAATAGGTACCACTCTGACGGGAAGGTAAACGGCATTTCTGCGCGCTGCTCTGGTTCGCCAGAAGTGGCTGAGTCATGCTGGCCACATGACCCGGAAGCTGTAAGCCGGCTCCCTCAGCCAATAAAGCGAGATGAGCCCCAGAGTCGTCCGCGACTGGGCCTAATAGTCAGGGGTCCCTTTACCTTTAAATAGTTGGAAAAAGCACACACTTTTCAACATGGTAATCAACATTTCTATAAAGCATGTTGGGCCCGAACTATTCTAAGGAAAACAGGGGGACATCCATAGCATGTTCACCATTAATGAGAAGGTCCTGGACTGAGAGCCACACATCCAATTGCGGGCTTGTGATTTGAAAAGTTTGGTTCAAGGCCAGATGTGGACATGGCCTGTGCCTGGATACATTCATCTCAAGTTGTGCGAGTCTTGGGCAAAGCCCTGGGCAACTGCCATATTTCCCAGCTCTTTCTTCCCTGCAGCCCACTTTCCCCAGACTTGGCAACTAAACCAGGAGGACTCACATCAGCCACTTCCAGCCTGGCAAGTGGTTAGGGAGTATGGCAGATGTTGCACTAAAGCAAGCAAAAGAGGACATTAAAGAGCTGCTCTGTTTACCTCAGGCTGTCAGAGAAGGCTTCCGCACCAAACTTGGATGGGCAGTAACCACCTCCAAAGCAGGCCAGGCGTCCCATCGAACTGCACACATTGACCACCCTCCCTCTGGCTCTCCTCACCAGAGGCACCATGTGTAGCGTCACATCAATCATCCCAAGAAGGTTGACACTGATCACCTTTGCAAAGTCATCTTTGGTCAGCCATTCGTTGGGACCTGTTGGTAGAGCTGTGCCTGCGTTGTTCACCAAGCCCCAAAGCCCTGTGAGAAAGAAGAGATGTTTTTCCTATTAGCAACCCTAACAAATAAGGCTGTCACATGAATAGATGGTTTGTGCTTAGGAGGGCTGGCCCTTGCATGAGGCCTGGTAAAGTGGTTGCTTCACAGCAGCAAGCTGCAGGGCGTAGGGGCCAACTCCCACAAATTTTGTTGTCAGGACCATGCAGGCTGCATGGTATCCATGGCCCCTGGCTCCCATGGTTATGGGGCCAAGTTGTCACTGCTGGTGGTGGCAACGCAAGCAGTGTTGAGGCCGCAGGCTGAGCACAGCACAACTGAAGTGACATTTTTCAACAGCTGAAGCAATCCCCACACACTAGGGTTGCCACCTGTGGTCGAACAAAATAAGGGACAGGTCAGGCAAAATATGGGACATTGGGGAGAATTGGGAGGCTAAAAATTACCTGGTGCAGAAATGACTTCAAAGCTATCCATTACAATGGGTTGTTTCCAGTGCTGGCCATACCCATAGAGTAGACCCAATGAAATTTATGGATCTCAGTTAGCAATGCACATTAATATCTATGACTCACATCCTCCCCACGTGCTGAATTTCTGCTTGTCAGAAGAATTGTAAATATAGAAACCGAGCCCCAAAATGAAAGAGGGGTGAAGATAGCAACAAATTCTGTTTCTCTTCCTCACAGAGCTTTGCCTCCAATGTCCCTTTCCATGTAGCTGCATCACACACACGCATCAGAGACCGACAACTTCATCTAACCACTAGGGTGACATGTGTGCTTCATTTTTCAACCTGTTCTTAACAGTACATAGTATTGGGCATCAATTTATTGAAATAACTAAAACAACAACCATTTTAAGGCTTCAATCCGCTGTGTACTTATTTGAAAGTAAATTAAACGGAACTATTTGGGACTTGTTTCTATTTTCAAAGGATCAGGCTGAAAGTGAATTTAGGATTGTGACAGTTTCTTGAATTTTCGTGGGTTTTCTGGGGGAGGGGTTTTCTTTGGTACCTAAAGAATAGGTTTGAAATATCCATCCTACCCTTCTGTAAAGGAACAGGGTCAGGGAAGCATGTAAAAGGAATGAGGACCCACATTCAATTCCATTTTTTTTTAAATGATATTTATTGAGAATTTAAAATTACAGAGGGGAAAAAAAGGAAAGGAAAAAAAGGAAAAGAGAAAAAGGTAGACAAAAAGAGCAATTAAACAATACAAGTCGATAAAAAGAAAAAAAAAGAAAAAACAAAATACACAATACATCAAAACCAAAAACAAAAATAAACAAAAAAATTAAAAACAAATCCAATATTCCCAAATCTTTATCTTTCGTTAACTTGTTTCATCGACCTCCTCACACCTCCCTTTTTTGTATTCTAGTTATTAATTTTCTCAGCAAATCCTTTCCATCTTTCACTATATTCTGTCATTAAATTACCTTTATTTATTTTAACCTCATCTTACCATAAAAAGCCCTAAAGCTTAAAACTTAAAACTTATTTATACATAATTCCTTTTAACATTTCTATTAAAGCCAAATAGTTTCATTCCAACATTTTTCTAATACTCATTAATTTTACAATGACTTTCTAAATGAATTTTTAAAACTTTCTTCCAATCTTCATCCATTGTCTCTTCTTCCTGGTCTCGGGTTTTATCAGTCCTTTCTATCCCTTCCATCTAGTCCATCAACCTGGTGACCTTCTATCCGAGGCTCTTAAGTCTTTTCCATGTTCCAGGACCCACATTCCATTCCATCCCCAAACACTCGCCATCCTCTGCTGCCTTCCATTGGGCCGCAGCTGCGTCTCTGACTGGATTTAGTGTAACAGGAGAGGGTAAGGTAGGGAAAAGGGGAGACGAGGAGAGAGAAATGGAAAGTGGACAGGCAGGAGAGAGGCAGCAGCTCTGATAGAGATGGGAGGGAGCAGCTGAGCTCAGCAGAGGAGGTGGGGGTACGGGGAGAAAGCAAGGCAGACATAAGGGACAAACTACACCCCCAACAGGCTAAAAAACAGTTTCTATCTGTGGACTGTTAGGCTGCTGAACAGAAAATGTAATATAGTGCAATTGACTTTCAGGGTGGGTGTGCTCTGCGACAAGCTCACAGAGTGCAATGAGACTGAGTGTTTGGGGGGTGGGGAGGCTCGGTTAATTTCATTGTACACAGGTTGTACATTGACAATAAAGGTATTATTATTATTATTATTATTATGATGATGATGATGATGCAGCATTTCCCCTTAAAATAAGGGGCAATCCCCTATTACAAGGGACAAGTGGAAACCCCACCAAGACACACACGTCACCTGGCCAAGCTGCTGCTGAGAACCCTCCTTGTGGGTGGGCAGAGGTGAGGGCAGAGAAGAAGTGAGAGGCAGTTTCTCCAGCCAAGCCAGCAATGCCTTCCTTGTAATAGCGTGTAATGAGTATGAGTTACTCATGCGTAAACTGGTGCCTCTCTAGGCTAATTTGCCTTGTTAAACCTTTCTGACTGCACAGCCCTTTCTCATCGTGGCTGCCTCAGTCGCTGGCAGAATCCGTCAGTGGGCGTTTCTTGAACCTCTTCCAACATAAAAGTTGTTTGACACCCAGTCTCCTCCTCCTCTCACTGCGCGGGAGTCTTCTGCGCAGGGAGGGCGTGGGTAGCGGAGGACCTGTCCCCTCCTCACTGAGGTCCAGTGAAGAGTCCTGGAGCCCTCTCTCCCCTTCCCCCATCTGCCCCCTTTATCCCTGGTGTTGCGCTGATTTGCTTCCCCCTCTACTGAGCTGTTTCTCCCCCTGCTGCTGGGTCCTTCGCCAGCATCATCTAGGAGCCTCCCCTTCGCCTCTCGCTCCGATGTCAGTTCCCTGACATAGCGGATCAGACATTTGTGTATGCTTGGCAGCGGTGAAAGCAAGATCCGGGAAAGGACTTTACTAATTTGCCCAGCAGCTACAGTGGTGGCAGGTTGCTGATCTGCATACAAGTCCCCCCCCCCAAAAAAAAATTCATTGTCAATCACAATGAAAAAGCTTGCTTTTCTCTCCCTTTCTTTCCTGCCCAGCAGTAGCAGGGGGCATATGCCCTTGTAGGGGGGGCATAGGGCGGCATGGGGGTCTATAGTGTGGCTCAGTGGCTGTTGTGTGCTGTGGGTTGGGATTCTGGGGTTGCCACGCTGCTGCTGCCCAGAGTTTTGCTGCATTCAGAAACTCCTCACGCAGCAAAACCCTAAAAGTGATACAGTATTTAAAAAGTAACCAAAAGAACAACAAAAATGCCCGTGCCCTTCTCTGTTAAATTTGCCTTTTATTTTCACATCATTCTTCTTCTTTCCCCTTTGCAGTTAAAACAATCAATTCTCTTTCCCCACATCAAGAGTTTGACTTAGCTTGGGAACCCCAAAGACTAGAGAAAATATCTGTCAAGCTGGAATGTTGTTTCAACTTTTCAACTCAGCATCCTTGACAAACGACAATTCCCAGGACTCCCGGAGGGGGTGTCCCATGCTCTCAGGCACCAAATATCTGGAGCTGGCTCCGATATTTATTATTAAATGCTCATAATGATTATTTCTAAGGTATTTTCTGAATTGTTATGCTTATTCTTCCTTTTACACATTGTGAGCCACTTTGGGCACAATTATGTGGGTGAAGTGGCCTACAAATGAATACAGAGAGGCAATTCTAATCCCCCGTCCCACCAATAGCACAGAGGCACCACAAGGAAGGTAGAGATTCACCTTTGCTTCCAATGCACCCTTTCACCCACTCCGTCGCAGCCGCCACACTCTCTGTGCTGCTCACATCCAGAATGGTGGTTTTCAAGCGCCCTGAGGTGCCCTTGCCCAGCTGCTCTGCCCCCTTCTGCGTGAGACAGGCTGCCAGCACCCACAGACCCCGGGCATCCAGCTGCCTGGCAAGTAGGTTTCCAAAGCCAGAGTCACACCCCGTGATGAAGACATATTTCTCCGTCAGGTTCTCCACCGTCTGTCTCTCCTGGTACCATCGGCGAAGGAAGTAAAGCCCCAGCAGGGCAGCCAGGTAGAGCCACATGGCTGAAACCTGCAGGGAAAAAGAATTCAAGCATTAGGAAGCATACACGCCCCTGGCAGGACTTGGAGGAGGAGATTTCTAATTCCTGCTCCACCAAGAAGTTCACTGGAAGACCCTTACTTCCCTGACTCAGCTAATGCCGCAATCTGTTCCGATTGTATATTTTATCTTTATGAACGCTGTTTTTATTGTGTTACGTGAGCTGGTCTTTGACAGTAATTGCCACCGCTCAATTTAGCCTTCCTCGCAGTGTTGTGGAGGGGAAGGAGAATTTTTGCATGAAGCAAAGAGCTGCTTGGAGCAGAGGCAAGCTAAAAGAAGAATAAATAATAGCTCCAGCTAGCTGCTTATTAACTAATCAACTAAATAAAGAGGAACAGTAGGATCCTATCTACATCTATAGACATAAGCAGCACTGAGCTCAAATATTGTGCAAGCTCAGCATTAGCATCCAATAGGTCAAATGCCTTATTTTGCCATTATTGCACCACATATTGTACTTGCTCAAGGTCCGATCCCTGATTTCTTTTATGTGATCAAACTCTCCCAACTGAGTTTTACTAAGTATTTTGCAGATGATGGACTCCAGTCTTTTTGATGCTGGGTTTTTATTAAGTTTTCAAAGGAGATCAGAGATTTATGGTTAGGATGGGAACGAGGACCCAGAGATGAAATAGACTAGAGTATCGAGTGCACATGTTGCCAACACACCCTAACAAGCTGATTGGAGCTTACATTCCTAATGACTTGCATTTAGGGATGTAAGAAGGCATAACTTTATTTCCTGTTCTGTACTTTTCACATTCAGTACTGTTTCTGTTCAGGTGCAAGGTCATCTTCCATCAAATATTATGTTATTTGTCCAACATTCTGCTGTTGCAAAATGACGTAGTTACTTAACTATTATTGTTGGCATCCATCTGTGTGGAATGTGTCTCCAGGGATAAAGTCAAACTGCTGTGTTAGCAGCACTGTGACCTCTCCATGGCACTAGCCTAGGCAGTGTGACTTCGCAACACAAGTCCTGAAACCATTTTGTCTCTCCCAAATTGGCCTCAAATGTTTCTCTACAAGGAGAGAGGAAATGGGAAAAACCTCCCCATTGTCTCTTTGCTCACAAATCCTGCCTTAAGGGCACATTTAAGATATGAATAGGGTGAGCCTGTGACCTGCACTCCGGAATTAAGTATTTATCATCACAAAAGGATGGCCAGGCTCTCCAGGTAAACAGCCAGTTAAACCCATCAACAGGTTTCCTGCCAGACAGGATTCTGTTGTAGACCGCCCCTTCTGTGATGTATGTATGATGTATTGAGGGGTGGTATTGGGCTGCAGGGTGGCAATTTTAAAAAGTCTATATAAGGCTTTGTACACCATTGTTCAAGGGACGCGGGTGGTGCTGTGCCTATGACTTGCAGATCAGAAGGTTGGTGGTTCGAATCCCCGTGACAGGGTGAGCTCCCGTTGCTCGGTCCCTGCTCCTGCCAACCTAGCAGTTCGAAACCACAGTGCCTAGGCCTTGCTGATCAGAAGGTCGGCGTTTCGAATCCCTGCGACGGGGTGAGCTCCCGTCGCTCAGGTCCCTGCTCCTGCCAACCTAGCAGTTCGAAAGCATGTCAAAGTGCAAGTAGATAAATAGCTCTGGTGGGAAGGTAAACGGCGTTTCCATGTGCTGCTCTGGTTTGCCAGAAGCGGCTTAGTCATGCTGGCCACATGACCCGGAAGCTGTACGCCGGCTCCCTCAGTCAATAAAGAGAGATGAGCGCCGCAACCCCAGAGTCAGTCACAACTGGACCTAATGCTCAGGGGTCCTTTACCTTTACCTTTACCTTTACACCATTGTTCTGGGTGCCTGCAGCATGGGGTGGGGTGGGGGTGTGAGCACCTTGTTGCAACAGTTAATAAAGATCATGCTTACTAGCTGCTTTGCTTCTCAATATTCTCTGGCTGGCCTCTTATTTTTTCCTACCGATAGAGAACCTAAAAAAGGACTCTATATGGGCTCTTGGGTACCCCATAAGGGAAAAGGGGCATTTTTCTTTTCTTCTTATAATAACATCTTACAAAATTTAAAAACCCCTCATCAATAACAAATTACCCCGTTCGCTCAAGTAGGACACAATGGTCCATATTATCTGTTGTAACTGATCCAATTTCTTCCAAATCCATGTTAAAAGCTGCAAGGCCAGCACAAGATGGAATGAGGTTAGTTTCTTAGGTTGCAAGTTCTTTCAATGTTCATGAGAAACAGCCAGTTGCACAACACATGAAACTGCTATGTCAAGTAATGAGACTAATTTATTGAAGCAGAAATGCCTTATTTTCTCACAGGGGCACCACAGATGGAACAGGGGCCAACAACACTAAAACCCCTCCAAGAAAGTGCAGATGAAGACAAATTCATGTGATTACATGTTTGTGGTGTTAGATGCCGTCGGTGTAAGAGCTTAAAAGTGTTTTCTCCACTCTTAATTAAAACAGAAGATAGAGGCATTTTGGCCCACATGCGGCACCGGCCTAACTCTTCCAAGGTCTAATTCACAGGCTTGTTTTCTGGGAACAAACTGTTCCCATCAAATGTCACTAGATGTTTTGTAGTTGATGGACACCAATCTTTTTGATGCTGTGTTTTTACTAAGTGCTAAATTCTTATCTCCTTCTGAGTAATAAATGGGAAGAAATATGAGACTTGTACCTTTTAAGGTTCTGAACTTTTTCTGGAAATGTTTCTGGGCCTTTCAGGGGTGCAAAGGAAGAAGAAATTCAGGAAGTGAAGCTTCCCCTCTCCCCCAGCCTGAAGGTTGAGGAAAGTGTCACCTACTGAATATTGGCTTGAAATAAAGTTGTTATGAGCACATGCACTAGAGGAGGAAGAGGAGTGCGGGAGCAGCGCACCGCCCCTGGCAGCGCGATCCTGGTGAGGTGCCATCGCAGCTGCCCCGCCTGCGCTGGACACCAAGCTCCCTCAGGTGGCATGCCACGCCCCCAGGACACACGCCAGCCCCACCCCGCCTGCTCTCCGCCCCCACAGTGCCGGAGCATGAAGCTCCTCCCCTGAGCACATGTCAGTGGTGACTGGAAGTTACTAACTATCATGTATAATTGAAAAGGGAAGAGACAGACCTGCAGCTGATGAGAGGAAAGGCTCTCAGCTTCAGTTGTGCGGCAGGTAATTCCGTTTGCAGTTTCTCCTTATCTGCCTGTTCCTGTTTTTCATACTCCATTGGTTGCAACAGGAGCTCCTCCATTCTGGCTAGGATTGGTTTAACCCAATTAGGTGGTGAAATTTAACTACCTTCTTTAAACTAACTGGGGAATCTATTGGTGAGGGAAACACATGGAATCCCTCCCACTGCAGAGCTCCGTGCCACAGATTCAGCCCCTTCCCCCTGTGTTCTGTTCATGTATGGATAGAGCAAATAAATCATTTGTCTAGAGCAGGAAGAAAGCCTGGGGTTGAGAGTATCTTTCTTGCGGAAGCACATCCCTCCTGCTGATAGAAAGATGGGCAGAGTGCTTGCAAAATTACATTTCACCTAGAGTAGGAAGGGTGAGGCTGATTAATATAAATGGCAGAATCACAGACAAGTTGAAGGAAATAAGAGAAGGATTTATTAAATACTTTTCTGAGCTGTACAGACAAGGGAAAGAAAAAACATTTAAGATAGAAGAGTATATTAGAAGTAGCAGTATGCCACAGTTAAAAGAAGAACAAAGAAACATTCTTAACTCCCAGATAACAATGCAAGAATTTCTTGAGGCAATAAAAAGCTCTAAAAATGGCAAGTCTCCAGGTCCGGATGGCTTTACGGCAAAATATTACAAGAAACTAAATGAACAATCAGTGAACCCATTGAAAGATGTTATGAATGAAATATTGAACACAGGCGAAATCCCAGAAACATGGAAACAGGCCTATATAACAGTAATCCCGAAACAAGATGCAGATCTGCTGCAAATCAAAAACTATAGGCCTATCTCCTTGTTAAATAATGATTACAAATTGTTTGCAAATATTTTAGCCAACAGATTAAAAAAATATTAAATGAGTACATACTTCAAGATCAACCCGGGTTTTTACCAGGAAGACAAATGAAGGAGAATATAAGGAATATTTTTAATATAATAGAATAAGGTAAAGGGACCCCTGACCATTAGCTCCAGTCGTGGCCGACTCTGGGGTTGCGGCGCTCACCTCACTTTATTGGCTGAGGGAGCTGGCGTACAGCTTCCGGGTCATGTGGCCAGCATGACTAAGCCGCTTCTGGCGAACCAGAGCAGCACATGGAAATGCTGTTTACCTTCCCGCTGGAGCGGTACCTATTTATCTACTTGCACTTTGAGGTGCTTTCAAGCTGCTAGGTTGGCAGGAGCAGGGACCGAGCAACGGGAGCTCACCCTGTCACGGGGATTCGATCCACCAACCTTCTGATCTGCAAGTCATAGGCACTGTGGTTTAACCCACAGCGCCACCCGCGTCCTCGTCCATAATAGAATACCTGGAGGCTAAAAATGAAAAGAAAGCAGCTATGATGTTTATAGACGCTGAAAAAGCCTTTGATAATGTTTCTTGGAAGTTTATGATAAAGCTTCTAGAACAAATTAGAAGCGGCTCAAATTTTTTAAAAGGAATAGCAGCAATTTATTCAGAACAAAAGGCAAAATTAATTATAAATCAGGTGATAACGGATGATTGTAAGATCCAAAAAGGAACGAGAAAAGAATGCCCATTATCACCATTATTTTTTATCCTGGTCCTGGAAGTACTTGCCAAAAATATAAGAGCAGACAAAGAGATTACAGGTGTAAAAACTGGGAAAAGCGAATTCAAGTTAAAAGCATATGCAGATGATCTAGTGATAACAGTGGAAGAACCTAAAACTTCACTCCCTAAAGTAATAGAAAAAATTCAGAAATTTGGGGAAGTGGCAGGATTTAAGTTAAAAAGGAATAAAACTAAACTATTAATTAAAAATTTAAAAGAAGAGGGGGGGAAAGAATTAGAGCAAAGTACTGAGATTGAAGTCCATAAAAAAGTCAAATATTTAGGGATTTGGTTAACATCAAGAAATATAAACCTATTTAAAAATAATTATGAAAAAAATTGGCTTGAGGTAAAAAGAAATTTAGAAATATGGAGCAGAATGAATCTCTCATTGTTAGGAAAAATATCGGCGATCAAAATGAATGTGTTGCCAAAAAATCTATTTCTTTTTCAGTCAATACCAGCCATCCTGAAAGATGAATGTTTTTTAAAAATGAGAGAGAGATTTCAAAATTTATCTGGGCGGGGGGGAGGCCAAGGATAAAACATAAAATACTTACAGATATAAAAGATAGAGGCGGGTTTGCCCTCCCAGACCTTAAATTGTATTATGAATCTGCTCGTTTGGTATGCATCAGGGACTGGATGAGATTGGATAAGCAAGAGGCATTAGAATTAGAAGGACATGACAACAGATTTGGCTGGCACGCATATCTATGGTACGGGAAAGGAAAGGTTCATAGATGTTTTTATAACCATATAATTAGAAAATCATTAATGAGAGTATGGGAGAGATACAAAGATTTATTGGGACAAAAGACCCCGTGGTGGCTTTCACCACATGAAGCATTACTGCTCAAACCACTAGGAAAGGAAGGAAAATGGCTCACATGTGTTGATTTATTAAAGGACCATGTTGGAAAATGGAAAGAGATTACGATGAGATCAGAGATCACTTTCAGAGTTGGTTGCACTATCGACAATTATATGAAACATATAAAGACAGTAAGAAAGGATTTAGCTACACAAGATCTAGGTTTCAAATGGAAGTGATTGAAGGGAAAGTGAAATCACTGAAGGCTGCATACAGCATACTATTAGAATGGGAGACGAAAGATGAAGAGGTAAAATCAGTCATGATCAAATGGGCACAAGATGTAGGTCACAACATTATGATGGAAGATTGGGAAAAATTATGGAAAACTGATTTAAAATTTACAGACTGTTCCCTGTTGAAGGAGAACTGTATGAAGATGATGTACAGATAGTATGTGACACCAGTGCAGTTAGGGAAAATGTACAAAACTAGTTCAAATATATGTTGGAAGTGTAAGGAAAAGGAGGGGACATTTTATCATATGTGGTGGGATTGTAATGTAATTTTAAAAAATTGGGAAATGATCTGTAACGAATTGAAGAAAATGTTCCATCTAACATTTGTCAAAAAACCTGAAGCATTTTTGTTAGGGATTGTAGGGAAAGACCTGCCAAAAAAGCTGAAAAACAACTTCATGTATGTGACAATGCCTGCGAGAGTCCTAATAGCACAAGGATGGAAGACTGAAGAAATTCCAACTAAAGAATCATGGCAAGAAAAACTGGTAGACTATGCAGAACTGGCAAAATTAACACATAAGCTATGGGACAAGGATAACTGTGACTTTAAAGATGAATGGGAACCCTTTACAAAGTATTTGAAGAGGCAACAAAGTGAATTGGACTCCTTGACAGGTTTTGAATAAACAAACTTTTTATTGGCAATAATCAGTTAAACAATTTAAGGATCTACACAACTTTGTAACATGCAGAGAACAGCATTTACAGAGAAACCAAAGACTGGAACAGAGGGAAGTCGGGGGTGGGTGGGGGTTGTGGGGGAGGGTGGGGGAGGGAGGAAAAATGGGGGGGGAATTAAGGATGATATGTTTTTTGGATAATACGTTTTGTTTAAATTTTATATATATATATATATATATATATTTAAAGGAAGGGTGAGGCTGGACCTGGCCGACTTGCTTTGGTGCATGAATTTTAGTGCGTAAATAGAGACAGACTCCACACATGACTTGTTGGAATGATTTGCAACCTGTGTGAGAGAAACACACAAATGAAAATGTGGATCTGCAGCAACACGGGAGGCAAATTTAATCTTCTGGGCATTTCTCTCTATGATAGCTAAATCAAAGGAGGAACATCTGGAACTATTTTGGATGCCAAAGAAAATAACTTTCTGGTGCTTCCAGACTGCACTGCGAAATTTTGGCGAGTGCAAATTCAGAGGGATAGCTGTGTGTCAGTTTGCTTATGGTTTACATAGTGTGGGTGTCAATAAATTGGAGTGCTGAAACCATTCAGAACTGAAAGGAGTGGAGAAGATCACTGCTCTTTCTTGCTTAGCACAGATCTAGGTATGTTTCAAGGAAGGGGAAAGGGTAACACCCCTCACCACTTCATGTTGAAGGGAAAAGTGAGGAGGGGTGATGTATAGGCCCCACGGAAAGACCACCAGGTTGATAAACTGATGACACCAGTGCTTGTGCAACACCCATGCGCTGCTCCTTCAAGTTTTATAAACTCACATTTTGCTGCTTAGCCCTGCGGCTTTAGGTCTAAGGTTGCCTGAGTTCGTGTACTGCAGACATGTCCCGGCAATTGCTGAAACAGAGGAATGTTGGGACTGCCTGTTGGCCTCCAGATGACCTACTTTACCTGCACAAAGCTTACACATAGTTTAGATTATAACCAGCTTTACTTGGGCATTCATTCCAGTTGGTTTGTGGGAAGCACATCTTTCCCCCACTCCAAGGAACTATAGGTTATTCCTAGAACGCGGGTGGCGCTGTGGGTTAAACCACAGAGCCTAGGACTTGCTGAACAGAAGATCGGCAGTTCGAATCCCCGCGACGGGGTGAGCTCCCATTGCTCAGTCCCTGCTCCTGCCAACCTAGCAGTTCAAAAGCACGTCAAAGTGCAAGTAGATAAATAGGTAAACGGCGTTTCCGTGCGCTGCTCTGGTTTGCCAGAAGTGGCTTAGTCATGCTGGCCACATGACCCGGAAGCTGTACGCCGGCTCCCTCGGCCAATAAAGCGAGATGAGTGCTGCAACCCCAGAGTCGGTCACGACTGGACCTAGTGGTCAGGGGTCCCCTTTACCTTTACCTAGAATCCTTATACTATAGTTCCCAGGATTTTTGTGGGGAGAGGGGACTAAATTGAAGAGTTCCTGTTTGGTTCTTTACATCTGGTTCTAAGTCAATTCCAAACTATGCAAGAATGATTCCAAATAAACCTCCTTAGAAACAGATAAGTGGGGAATGAAAGAAGATGTTTTATCTTTTTACACCACTTATAACTCCTTCAAGACCACTTGGCTGCAGAGTAAGGTAAAGGTGTGGCAGAAAGTGTCTGGCCACTCAGTCTCACAGTAGGTGGCACTGAGTTCAATAAGGCTTATTCCTAGATAAATGGGTAGTAAAGTTTTGAGCCTAAGCTGCATCAGCCAATCATCAGTAAAAAAATAAAACTATTTCTTTTTACAGCTACTGATTACTAAGCCTGCATCTCAATAAGATCCTAAAAGATTCAATGTTCCATCCATAGATTGTTTGGCCACCTGCAATGTTGTTCTTCACAATCATCTACACAGCTTGTGCTGGTTTGGGCCCAGAGTGGGTCAACACATAGTCTGCAATGGTGGTTGGCAAGTAAGAGACAGGAAGGTAGAAGAACTTTGCATCCCAGCCTGGAGAGTAGCGAGTGCGAGGGGAGCAGGATGTCAGGGCATGTTCCATACAGTCAGTGACCAGGTGAAACTTGTCGCTGCAACCATCAATGAGTTCTTGGAACGATTTGCAACCTGTGTGAGAGAAACAAACAAATGAACAGTTGGATCTGCAGCAACACAGGAGGCAAATTTAATCTTCTGGGGAAAGATTGCTGTCTGGGCATTTCTCCCTAAGATAGCTAAATCAAAGGAGGAACATCTGGAACTATTTTGGATGCCAAAGAAAAGAACCTTCAGGTGCTTCCAGACTGCATTGTGAAATTTTAGCAAGTGCAAATTCTGAGGGAAAGCTGTTTGTCAGGTTTCTTATGTTTCTTTCTTCTTCTTCTTTTTTATTGGGTTTTTTCTATATTACATCACAATGCAAATATACCAAATCCATCACCACATCTTCCCCATCCCCACATATATTTATCATTTAAATCATAAATCAAGCATAATATTCTCTTGTCCCTCCCCCTGCTTCTCTCCGCCCCAACTCGATTTCCTCTACATTCTGAGATTACATTTATCTTTGCGTTCTACAATCTGCTCAAATCTTCTATGTATTCTTATTATCCTTCTTTACTAATTTACCTCCCCTCAGATACTTTACATTTTAATCAAGGAATATTAGCATATCTTTTTTTGAGCAATATTTTCCCATATATTCATCAAAACATTTCCACTCCTTTTTAAATTTTTGATTTGATTGATTTCTTATAATAGCTGTTAGTTTTGCCAAAGATAAGTATTCATTTAGTTTTCAAATCCATTCCTCCCTTAAGGGTAGAGTTTGTGACTTCTATTTAGCAGCAATCACTACTCTAGCTGTACTTGCACATAAGAAGATTCTCTCCCCCCCCCCCCATGGTATCTCTTCCCCTATCAATTCCAGGAGATACATCTCTGGTTGTTGTTTTTTTATTGATATTTTCAACATCTTCTTTAATTCTTCATGTATTACTGTCCAGAATTTCTTAATTTCCTTTCACCTCCACCATATATGTATTGTTGTTCCTATTTCTTTCCCACAACTCCAACAAATGTTGGATTTCAATTTATATATATTTGCTAACTTAGCTGGTGTTAAATACCACCTGTAGAACATCTTAACAAAATTTTCTTTGATTGTGTATGAGGCGGTAAATCGTATATCTTCTCACCAGAGTGTCTCTCACTGCTGTAGATAAGTAGTATGTCCAACATCCTGGGCCCATTTAATCATCGTTTCTTTCACTTCTTCATCCATCAATTCCCAGTCCAATAAAAGATTATATGTTTTAGATAACAATTTCTTATTGTTCTGAATTATTGTAGTATTAAATTTTGAATCCTCTTTTGCAAAGCCTTTCTTTGGATCAGAATTAAATATACTTCTTGTTGTATATAATGCCATCTCTCAATTTCATATTGCCGTATCTCTTCAAAGGGTTTTAATCTGAATTTCCCTTGTTCCTCTTCCAATAGTTGTCTATATGTTGGCCAATTTGTTCTCATATTCAGTTTTTTTACAGCATATGCCTCCAGCAGCAATATCCACCAAGGTGTCTTTGGTTCCAACTGTAGTCTATATTTGTTCCAAACCTTATATAGTGCACTTCTAAGTATATGATTTTACTTTCTCATAATTGAGATACACATGCCGTCCATATCTATTCTTGAAGCTTTCAAGGTCTAATATATAATTTTTTTCTAATCTAATCCAATCTCTTACCCATATTTAACATTCTGCTTCATAATATAATTTTAAATTTGGCAATGCCAATCCTCCCTTTTCTTTCCGTCAATAATTTATATTTTATCCGCGGTTTTTTCCCTTGCCATACGAATCTCATTATATTTTTCCTCCATTCTTCAAAGCAATTTTCTTTGTTTATAATTGCTATCGTTTGGAACAAATATAACATTTTTGGAAAACCATTCATCTTTATTATGGAGATTCTTCCCCATAGTGATAACTTTAGTCTGCTCTAGGTTTCAAAATCTTTTCTTATTCCTTTCCAAACTTTTTCATAGTTATTTTTAAACAGATTAATATTCTTCATAGTTAGATCTATATCCAAATATTTTGCTTTCTTGACAATCTGTAGTCTGCATTAAAATGCAAATCGAACTGATTTTCTCCCCCATATCTACTCACATTGCTCAAAGTACTGCTGCCCATAACAGTGTCTGATGTCAGAAGGTACCCGGCTCCATACAGTCTGAAAAATTTCTAGTGCATTTGAGGCAATAGGTGTTTTGAAAGCACCAGGTTCAATTATGCTGACTTGGACTCCAAAAGGATGGAGTTCTCTCCTGAATTGGAGAAGAAAAGTAAAGAATTTGTTACTGAGCCACAGTAATATTGCAGGTCATGCATGGAAAGGAACATCTTTCTTTTTGAAAAGAAGAAAGAGAGAGAGAGAGAAAAGGGAAATACAACTCCCTATCTTGTGCCCTCTTGCATGAGCCTGGCCCTGCAATGGGTTCTATAGAACACAACATCAGTTTTATTAAGAAGCAGCCATCAGAATGCTGTTGCTTCAAACTCCGGCTGGTTCTCTAAAGTTGACACTTTGATAATTAAGTGGTATATAAATAGCTGAAATACGCACATTTTTAAACACCATAATCAACTTTTCTACACATCACACTGAGGTATTCTATTCTCAAAGGCCTTTGCTATTCTCCTAAGTGACACCAGCAACATAGCCAGGCAGGTTGGCCTAAGAGCTAGACAAAACCATCTAGAGCATGGACAGCAAAAGTGGCCTGAGAGCCACACATCCTATCTCAGGCTTGCAAATACAAAAATGTATATTTTTCATACTTTTCTTTGATATATATTTTGTTGTAATGTTCATGAGATGAAGTACTAAGAAGAATTCTTTCAATGCATTAATTCACTTGATATGGAACGACCCATTTGGAGGTTGCATGTTGCAAAGAAGAAACTACAGAGCTGCTCTGTTTACCTCAGGCTGTCAGAGAAGGCTTCCGCACCAAACTTGGATGGGCAGTAACCACCTCCAAAGCAGGCCAGGCGTCCCATCGAACTGCACACGTTGACCACCCTCCCTCTGGCTCTCCTCACCAGGGGCACCATGTGTAGCGTCACATCAATCATCCCAAGAAGGTTGACATTGATCACCTTTGCAAAGTCATCTTTGGTCAGCCATTCGTTGGGACCTGTTGGGATCCCTATACCCGCATTGTTCACCAAGCCCCAGAGTCCTGTGTGAAGAAAGAAGGCGTGTTCATCCTCTTAGGCAACCTTAGCAGAGCTCAATAAAGTTGGAAATAAGCTAATCACATGCATAGATTGTTTGTGTTTACTTATACTAATACTCTTTTCTGAATTGTTATCCCTATTCTTCATTTCACATGTTTTGAGCCACTTTGGGCACAATTATGTGGGTGAAGTGGCCTACAAATGAATACAGAGAGGCAATTCTAATCCCCTGTCCCACCAATAGCACAGAGGCAGTACAAGGAAGGTCAAGAGTCACCTTTGCTTCCAATGCACCCTTTCACCCACTCCGTCACTGCCGCCACACTCTCTGTGCTGCTCACATCCAGAATGGTGGTTTTCAAGCGCTCTGAGGTGGCCTTGCCCAGCTGTTCTGCCCCCATCTGCGTGAGACAGGCTGCCAGCACCCGCAGACCCCGGGCATCCAGCTGCCTGGCAAGTAGGTTTCCAAAGCCAGAGTCACACCCCGTGATGAAGACATATTTCTCCGTCAGGTTCTCCACCGTCTGTCTCTCCTGGTACCATCGGCGAAGGAAGTAAAGCCCCAGCAGGGCAGCCAGGTAGAGCCACATGGCTGAAACCTGCAGGGAAAAAGAATTCAAGCATTAGGATGCATACACGCCCCTGGCAAAACTTGGAGGAGGATATTTCTACAATTCCTGCTCCACCAAGAAGTTCACTGGAAGACCTTTTATGTTGCCACCGCTCAATTTAGCCTTCCTCGCAGTGTTGTTGAGGGGAAGGAGAAATTTTGCATGAAGCAAAGAGCTGCTTGGAGCAGAGGCAGGCTAAAAGAAGTATAAATAATAGCTCTAGCTAGCTGCTTATTAACTAAACAACTAAATAAAGTGGAACAGTAGGATCCTATTTACATCTATAGACATTAGCAGCTGCTCAAATATTGTGCAAGCTCAGCATTAGCAGCCAACAGGTCATTATTTTGCCATTATTGCACCACATATTGCACATGCTCAAAGTCCGATCCCCGATTTGTTTTGTGTGATCAAACTCTCCCCAGGGGTGGAGGAAGGGGGGTGGGGTGGTTCACTCCAGGTGTCACCACTGAGGGGGTGTGAGAAAATGGCATGTGCTTCGTGCTGACCGTTAAAGTGTTGGTGCTGACCTTTAAAGCCCTAAAAGGCCTCAGCTCAGTATACCTGAAGGAGCGTCTCCACCCCCATCTTTCAGCCCAAACACCGAGGTCCAGCTCCAAGGGCTTTCTGGCAGTTCCTTCCCTGTGAGAAGTGAGGTTACAGGGAACCAGGCAGACGGCCTTCTTGGTAGTGGCACCTGCCCTGTGGAACGCCCTCCCATCAGATGTCAAAGAAATAAACAACTATCTGACATTTAGAAGACATCTGAAGGCAGCTCTGTTTAGGGAAGTTTTTAATGACTGATGTTCTAATGTATTTTTAATCTTTTATTGGAAGCCACCCAGAGTGGCTTCGGAAACCCAGCCAGATTATTATTATTATTATTATTATTATTATTATTATTATTGACTGGGGTAGATCTTGTACCTTTTAAAGTTCTGAACTTTTTCTGGAAAGGTTTCTCGGCCTTTAAAGGGTGCCCAGGAATAAAGTTGTTATAAGCACATGTTAGTGGAGACAGGAAGTTACTATCATGCATAATTGAAAAGGGAAGATTCAGGTAGGTAGCCGTGTGGGTCTCACACAGTCAAAATAAAATATAATATATTGTTCTGTAGCTCCTTACAGACCAACTAGGTTTGTTCTGGTATAAGCTTCCATGTGTCTGCACACTTCTTCAGATACATATACACACAAAAGCTTATACCAAAACAAACTTAGTTGGTCTATAAGGTGCTACTGGACAATTTTTATTTATTTATTTTTTTTTAAAGGGAAGAGACAGACCTGCGGCTGGTTAGAGGAAAGGCTCTCAGCTTCAGTTGTGCAGCAGGAAAAGCAGTGCTTACTTCTCCCGTTTGCAGTTGTTCCTTATCTGCCTGTTGCTGTTTTTCATACTCCGCTGGCTGCAAAGGGAGCTCCTCCCTTCTGGCAAGGATTGGCGAAACTTAACTGCCTTCTTTAAACTAATTGTGAAATCTGTTGGTGAGGGAAACATACCCAATCCCTCCCACTGCAGAGCTCCGTGCCACAGATTCAGCCCCTTCCCCCTGTGTTCTGTTCATGTATGGATAGAGCAAATAAATCTTTTTTCTAGAGCAGGAAGAAAGCCTGGGGTTGAGCGTATCTTTCTTACGGAAGCACATCCCTCCTGCTGATAGAAAGATGGGCAGAGTGCTTGCAAAATTACATTTCACCTAGAGTAGGAAGGGTGAGGCTGGACCTGGCCAGCTTGCTTTGGTGCTTGAATTCTAGTACATATATAGAGAAAGACTCCACAAATGACTTTTAAAGATATATATATATATATATATATATATATATATATATATACACACACTCTCCACCCTCCCCGGCCAAGACCGGGCTCAAGGCGGCTAACATCAGGTATAAAAACAATTGATTAAAATACAACTTAAAAATAGGATTCAAGTACAACTTAAAATGCAGCCTCATTTCAGTGAAAGCCCAGATCAAAAACTGTTTTGGGGGAGAAAACATCAAATCTTCACCAAGGCCAACTATCCAGATTGGTCCTACGTGGGCCAGAAAGAAGTCAGGGAAATCCCCAAATAGGAGTTCCATCACAGAAGGAAAAGGAAAGAGGGGGAGGGATCAGGCTGATTCCAAGCCAAAGGCCAGGCGGAACAACTCTGTCTTACAGGCCCTGCGGAAAGAAATCAGATCCCGCAGGGCCCTGGTCTCATGAGATAGAGCGTTCCACCAGGCCAGAGCCAGTGTGGAAAAGGCCCTGGCCCTGGCTGAGGCTAATCTGACTTCCTTAGGGCCCGGGACCTCTAGGGTATTGCTATATATGAACCTTAAGGTTCTCCGCGGGGCATACCAGGAGTGGCGGTCCCGTAGGTTTCCTTTCTGCTGCTGGTGTGCAGAAAGAGCGGTTGGAATGATTTGCAACCTGCATATTAGAAATAAGATAACGAAATATTATTTTTGTTAGTTTGCTTATTGTTTACATAGTGTGGATGTCAATAACTTGGAGTGCTGAAACAATTCAGAGCTGAAAGGCGTGATGAAGATCACTGTTCTTTCTTGCTTAGTACAGATCTAGGTACGTTTCAAGGATGGGGGATGTATAACCAGAAGATTCATGTTGAAGGGAGCAGCGGGTGTGTGGGTGTGAAAAGGAAAGACCACCACATTGATAAACTGCTGGTTCTCTAAATACCTCGCTGAAGAGAGGGACAAAAGGCTGGAGGGAACCCCACTTCATTTTTATCTGCAACCTCTGGTACCTCTGCCCATTCCACTTGTTAGCGGGAACAAGGCAGGTCATTTTTAGGAAAGGAAAAGAACCATTTTGCTGGGCTCCGGGAATCTGTAGCGATATTAGACTTTACCAACTGGTGGGGTCTGCGTTGCTCCTGGGAGGGAGAAAGGAAGTCAAATGACACCGAGGTTGATTCAGAGAAAGAGTTTATTCTGCTCTCCGGATAGCAGAAGGTACTGCATGAATCGGTTCACCGCAAGCACAAAAGCAAGAGAAATTGCATACAGTATATATATCCTCCAGGCACCCTCTCTCCCCTTCCCCAGGAATCCAGCCACGTCAGCTTATACACGTAAGTTGACATCCATGACCATAAACAGATGTTCCTGTTCCTGTTCCTATACTCTTATCTTAGGGCAAGAAAGTCACCAACTCTAAGAACACTCCTGGCGCTGTTCCCGGTCTTTTGTCAGACCTGACAAGGTCTGTGCGTCAGTGTGGTCAGGATGTAAGATAAGACCCAGATGTGCCATCCCTCCTCCACTTTGGAACTGACAAGGCCATTCATTAGGCGACAAAGAGACCTTTGTTTGTACAGCTGGGTTCCTGTTATACATTTGCTCAAGGGCTCAAATTAATGGTTTTTACCCTTGGAGAAGGAAAAATGGGGATTTTGCGGCCCGTTTCAGACTGACTGCACAGTCAGATTTTAGATCTGGAAAACCCATTCCTTCAAATCGGAAGCCAAAGACACAAAGCGAGATAGTTGCAACTGGGTTCCTCCAACCAAAGAGAAAGGAAGAAGCCTGCCTACAAGTGACTGCCACTTGGTTGGGTTACATACGGGTACATGGGTAAGGGGTGCAAACGGAAGAGACACAGGTGCAAACGACGTGACAGGGGTGCAAAGGAAGAAGAAATTCAGGAAGTGAAGTTTCCTCTCTCCCCCAGCCTGAAACGTGAGAAAAGTGTCACCTACTGAATATTAGCTTAAAATAAAGTTGTTATAAGCACATGTTAGTGGGGACAGGAAGTTACTATCATGTATAATTGAAAAGGGAAGATTCAGGTAGGTAGCCGTGTGGGTCTGACGCAGTCAAAATAAAAAATTGTTCAGTAGCTTCTTATAGACCAACTAGGTTTGTTCTGGTATAAACTTCCATGTGTATGCACACTTCTTCAGATACACATACACATGAAAGCTTATACCAAAACAAACTTAGTTGGTCTATAAGGTGCTACTGGACAATTTTGATTTGATTTGATTTGATTTGATTTGATTTGATTTGATTTGATTTGATTTTGAAAAGGGAATAGACCAACCTGCAGTTGGTTAGAGGAAAGGCTCTCAGCTTCAGTTGTGTGGCAGGTAAAGCAATGCTTCCTTCTCCGGTTAACAGTTGCTCCTTATCTGCCTGCTGCTGTTTTTCATACTCCACTGGCTGCAAAGGGAGCTCCTCCCTTCTGGCAAACATTGGTTTAACCCAGTTAGGTGCTGAGATTTACTGCCTTCTTTAAACTAACTGTGGAATCTGTTGGTGAAGGAAACACACCAAATCCCTCCCACTGCAGAGCTCCGTGCTGCACATTCAGCCACTTTCCCCTGTGTTCTGTTCATGTATAGATAGAGCAAATAACTCAAGTCATTTGTCTACAGCAGGAAGAAAGCCTGGGGTTGAGCGTATCTTTCTTACGGAAGCACATCCCTCCTGCTGATAGAAAGATGGGCAGAGTGCTTGCAAAATTACATTTCACCTAGAGTAGGAAGGGTGAGGCTCAACCCGGCCAGCTTGCTTTGGTGCATGAATTCTAGTACAGTGGTACCTTGGTTCGCGAACAAAATCTGTTCTACTAATAAATCTGTTCTACTAATAAAGAAGGCTGATTGCCGAAGAATTGATGCTTTTGAATTATGGTGCTGGAGGAGACTCTTGAGAGTCCCATGGACTGCAAGAAGATCAAACCTCTCCATTCTGAAGGAAATCAGCCCTGAGTGCTCACCGGAAGGACAGATCCTGAAGCTGAGGCTCCAAGGCTCATGAGAAGAGAAGACTCCCTGGAAAAGACCCTGATGTTGCGAAAGATGGAGGGCACAAGGAGAAGGGGACGACAGAGGATGAGATGGTGGGACAGTGTTCTCGAAGCTACCAGCATGAGTTTGACCAAACTGGGGGAGGCAGTGGAAGAGCGTGCTCTGGTCCATGGGGTCACGAATAGTCGGACACGACTAAACGACTAAACAACAACAACAATAAATTTGTGGATGTTTATTCAAAACCTGCCACGGAGTCCAAATCCTTTTGTTGTCTTTTTAAATAGTTTGTAAATAATTCCCATTCTTCCTTGAAGTCGCGGTTGTCCTTCTCACGCAATTTATGTGTTAACTTTGCCAACTCGCATAGCTCATCAGTTTTTCTTGCCATTGTTCTTTCGTTGGGATTTCCTCATTCTTCCATCCTTGTACTAAGAAGACTCTTGCCGCTGTTGTAGCATACATGAATAAGTTCTTTGTTTTTCTTGGCAGGTCTTGTCCTAAAATCCCTAACAAAAATGCTTCCATTTCTTTTACAAGTGTCATTTTGAACTTTTTTTTTTCAATTCGTTGTGTATCATCTCCCAAAATTTTTAAATTTCTCTACATTCCCACCACATATGATACAAAGTACCTTCTTTTTATTTACATTTCCAACATGTATTTAACCCAGTTTTATACATTTTTGCCATTTTTACTGGTGTAATATACTTATCTATACATCATTTTCATATAATTTTCTTTCAAAAGAGAACAGTCTGTAAATTTCAAATCTACCTTCCGCAGCTTTTCCCAATCCTCAAATTGTATATTATGTCCTATATCTTGTGCCCATTTAATCATGACTGATTTGACCTCCTCATCTTTTATTTCCCATTCTAGCAGAATACTACAGTGGTGCCCCACAAGACGAATGCCTCGCAAGACAAAAAACTCGCTAGACGAAAGGGTTTTGCGTTTTTTGAGTCGTTCCGCAAAACGAATTTCCCTATGGGCTTGCTTCGCAAGATGAAACGTCTTGCGAGTTCTTGCGAGTTTGTTTCCTTTTTCTTAAAGCCGCTAAGCCGCTAATAGCCACTAAGCCGCTAATAGCCGTGCTTCACAAGACGAAAAAACCGCAAGACGAAGAGACTCGCGGAACGGATTAATTTTGTCTTGCGAGGCACCACTGTATATGCTTTCTTCAACAACTTCACTTCTTCTATAACCTCATTTGGGAATCTAGAGATTGTACAGTGGTACCTCGAGTTAAGTACTTAATTCGTTCCAGAGGTCCGTACTTAACCTGAAACTGTTCTTAACCTGAAGCACCACTTTAGCTAATGGGGCCTCCCGCTACTGCCGCGCCGCTGGAGCACGATTTCTGTTCTCATCCTGAAGCAAAGTTCTTAACCTGAAGCACTATTTCTGGGTTAGCGGAGTCTGTAACCTGAAGCGTATGTAACCTGAAGTGTATTTAACCTGAGGTACCACTGTATAGCTAAACCCTTTTTTGTTATCTTCCTTATACATTTCGTATAATTGTCTATAATGCAACCAACTCTGGACATGATCTTGGATTTCCTTATAATCTTTTAATTTCCATTTTCCTTCTTGATCTCTCAGTAAGTCTCTATATGTAGGCCACTTTCCCTTTTTGCCAAGCAGTTTGAGTAATGAAGCTTCAATTGGTGATAACCACCAAGGTGCTTTTTGTTCTATTAAATCTTTGGACCTCTCCCATACTCTCATTAATGATCTTCTGATTATATGATTGTAAAATCCTTTATGTACTTTCCCTTTCCCATACCATATGTATGCACGCCATCCGTATCTGTTATCATAACCTTCCAAATCTAATGCTTCTTCCTTTTCCAGTTTTATCCAGTCCCTAATCCAAACCAAACATGCAGCCTCATAATACAGTTTAAGATCTGAGAGGGCGAAGCCCCATCTTTCTTTTGTATCTGTAATTCTCTTAAGTTTTATCCTTAGCCTTTTGCCCCACCCCCACCCCGATAAACTTAGAAATATCTTTTTGCCATCTTTTGAGGCAATCATCCTCATTACTGGGGATTGTCCCATTACTGGGACTGTCTGGAAGAGAAAGAGCATTTTCAGCAACACATTCATTTTTACCGCTGAAATTCTTCTACTCCATATTTCTAAATTCCTTTTTATCTCAGACCATACTTTTTCCTAATTGTCTTTATACACATTTATATTTCTTGTTGTTGTTTTTTTAAAAATAATATTTATTAAGATTTGAAAGGTTACAAAAAGGGAAAAGGAAAAATAGAAAACAGCATATTAAGCAAAAACAGAACATCACATCACAATATAGAAAAGAAGGAAAAAAAGGAAAAAAGAAAAAAAAGAAAAAAAAGCAACAATAACAAAAAAAAATGCAATGAATCTTCCCATAACTTATCTTTCATTTACTTATTTCCTTGACCTCCTCACACCTCCCTTTTTTGTATTCTAGTTCAGTTAGCTATTTCAGCAAATCCTTTCCATCTTTTCCAGTTTTTGTCCTATATTTTATCTTAATATAATGTAACTTTACTTTCCCTCCTTTTACCATTTAAGAATCTGTTTTTTCTTAATCCTTTATAGCATTTCTGCTAAAACCACATTACTTCATTCCAACATCCATCTAACATTCCTTAATTTTACAATGTTTCTGTAAATAAACTTTAAATTTCTTCCAATCTTCTTCCACCGACTCTTCTCCCTGGTCTCGGATTCCGCCAGTCATTTCCGCCAGTTCCATATAGTCCATCAACTTCATCTGCCATTCTTCCCGGGTGGGTAAATCTTGTGTCTTCCAATACTTCGCGATGAGTATTCTTGCTGCTGTTGTAGCATACATAAAAAAAGTTCTGTCCTTCTTTGGCACCAATTGGCCGACAATGCCCAGAAGAAAGGCCTCTGGTTTCTTCAGGAAGGTATATTTAAATACCTTTTTCAATTCATTATAAATCATCTCCCAGAATGTCTTAATCCTTGGGCACATCCACCAAAGGTGAAAAAATGTACCTTCAGTCTCTTTACATTTCCAACATTTATTATCGGGCAAGTGATATATTTTTGCAAGCTTGACTGGTGTCATGTACCACCTGTAGATCATTTTCATTATATTCTCTCTTAAGGCATTACATGCCGTAAACTTCGTACCAGTGGTCCATAACTGTTCCCAGTCAGCCATCATAATATTATGTCCTACATCTTGTGCCCATTTAATCATAGTTGATTTCCCCGTTTCATCCTGGGTATTCCATTTCAACAGCAAGTTATACATTCTTGACAAGTTCTTAGTTTTGGGATCTAACAGCTCTGTTTCCAGGTTTGATCTTGTTGTTAACCACATCCCTAAATATTTTACTTTTTTATGGATTTCTATCTCAATGCTTTGGGCCAAATCTTTTTTCTCTTCCTCTTTTAAATTTTTAACTAATAATTTAGTTTTATTTCTGTTTAATTTAAATCCTGCCACTTCCCCAAACTATTGAATTTTCTCTATTGCTCTAAGGAAAGATGTTTTTGAATCTTCTACTGTAATTACTAGATCATCAGCTATGGCTTTCAGCTTAAATTCATTTTTTCCAGTTTTTATCCCTGTAATGTCTTTATCCGCTCTTATATTTCTTGCAAGTACTTCCAGGACCAGAATGAACAATATCGGTGCTAACGGACATCCTTACCTAGTTCCTTTTTGTATTTTACATTCATTCATTATCACCTGATTTACAATTAATTTGTTCCCAGTATATTGCTTGCATTCCTTTAAAAAATTTGTATACACAATTAATTTCTTCAAGTAATTTTTTCATGAAATCCCACGAAACATTGTCAAAAGCTTTCTCGGCTTTTTCTTTCTTTCTTTTTTTTAAATAATATTTATTCCAAATTTAAAATCACAGAAAAAAAGAAAAGCCATACAGAGTACAAAGAAAATTTTGACCATAACAGAACAAAAAATAAACAAGTAAAAAGAACAATAAGATAGAATAAAAAAGAAAACTTAACAAAAAATATAAAAATGTATTAAGTTAAAAATAAAACAAAAGCAGGTTAAACCTTTACATATCCTTTTCCCTTTACTTATTTCCATTGACCTCCTCTCACCTCCCAATTTTGTATTCTAGTTCAAATCGTATTTCCAGCAAATCCCTCTCATATTGTTTTCATTTACGTATTTTAGAATTAAAGTAATATAATTAAACCTCCTCTATTTCATCAAGTTCATTGACTCATCTTTGCTTATTCCATTATATCGTATCTTCCGAAACGACCTAATATTCTTTTTCCAACCTCCTTCTAACATTCTTTTATATTACAATACTTTTGAAGATATATTTTGAATTTTTTCCAATCTTCTTCCATCGACCCTTCTCCCTGGTCTCGAATTCTGCCGGTCATCTCAGCCAGCTCCATATAGTCCATCACTTTCATCTGCCATTCTTCTCGGGTGGGCAGTTCTTGTGTCTTCCAGTACTTCCCGATGAGTATTCTTGCTGCTGTTGTAGCATACATAAAGAAAGTTCTATCCTCCCTTCGCACCACTTGGCCGACCATGCCCAGTAGAAAGGCCTCTGGTTTCTTCAGAAAGGTATATTTAAATACCTTTTTCAGTTCATTATATATCATTTCCCAGAAACCCTTAATCCTTGGGCATGTCCACCAAAGGTGAAAAAATGTACCCTCTGTCTCTTTACATTTCCAACATTTACTGTCTGGCAAATGGTAGATTTTTGCTAGCTTGACTGGGGTTAAGTACCACCTGTAAATCATTTTCATTATATTCTCTCTTAAGGCATTACAAGCCGTAAATTTCATACCTGTGGTCCATAACTGTTCCCAGTCAGCAAACATAATATTATGTCCAAAATCTTCTGCCCATTTAATCATAAAAGATTTAACCGTTTCATCCTGTGTATTCCATTTCAGCAGCAAGTTATACATTCTTGATAAATTCTTAGTTTTAGGATCTAGCAGTTCTGTTTCCAATTTTGATTTTTCCTCCTGGAAACCAATCTTTTTATCTAGGGCTTTCTCGGCTTTTTCTACCTGTAAGAAACCCTGCCTGATCTTGATGTATATATTCACCTTGATGTATATATTCACCTAAGATTTTTTCATCCTATTTGCTAAAATGTTTGCAAATTAGTTCTTTGGATCTCAAACTTTTAGGCAGTAGAAGCAAGCTTTATTAACTACTATCATAATAAGCAAAGAAACAGCAACAGGTGCTAATATACAATTAAAGTACAGTCGTACCTTGGTTGCCAAACGCTTTGGAACTTGTACATTTCGGCTCCTGAACAATCGAAAACCGGAATGATTTTCAAACGTCCGGTGCGGCTTCTGATTGGTTTCTGAACATTTTGGAAGTCCAACAGAACTCAAATTGATTGCTGCAGTTGGGGCCTTTTATAGCGTCCTGGAGCAGCTTTCCACCGTTTCTGTAGCAAGTGCTTTATGCTGTCATCCTTTTTCCCATCCACTTCTAAGGGCACCTCCTTCGATTTCACACTTTGAAGTCAGAGCATGAGTTCAAGGTAGCCCTGCACTCATACTCCTCCTTATATCGGCAGCTGGTTCAGAGCAAGGACACTCCTTTCTTTCCCATGCCTGCAGCTGCATTCCTTATCTCATCCACCATATATAGAAATACAGTATAAGCTAAACTGAAAACAGGAACACCATCTCCTGGCTTTCCCTTTGGCAATATAACTAATATTTTTCTTCAAAGCAATGTATACTGCTTGCAAAAGTTTGTTTGTTTTTTGCATTTTCTATTTTGCATAAACAAGCAAAATAAAAACGTAAACATCAAGATGCAATTAGGCTTGTGTTCCATCCACAGATTGTTGGCTCATTTGGACAACTGTAAAGGTTTTTATTTAAAGCAATCTATACAGCTTGAGCAGGTTTGGGCTGAATGCAGCTCACCACGAAGTCAGCGATGGACGTTGGAAAGTAAGAGGCAGGAATGTACAAGAGCTTTGCATCCCATCCTGCAGAGTAGCGAGTGCGAGGGGAGCAGGATGTCAGGGCATGTTCCATACAGTCAGTGACCAGGTGAAGCTTGCTGCTGGCAATGTTAACGGTATATTGGACAATTTTGCAATCTGTGTGTGAGAAATATGAAGCAAAACAGAAGTTAGTGCTGTAAATGTAGGGGGTAACCTAAATCTTTTGGGAGCTGAATGGACTGGTTAGCTTCTAGATACCTCTCCCTAGAAGAACTACTGTATTTTTCGCTCTATAAGGTGCACCAGACCACAAGACACACCTAGTTTTTGGAGGAGGAAAACAAGAAAAAAAAAATTCTGAATCCCAGAAGCCAGAACAGCAAGAGGGATCGCTGTGCAGCGATCCCTCGATCTGTTCAGGCTTCTGGGATAGCTGCACAGCCTGCATTCGCTCCATAAGACGCACACACATTTCCCCTTACTTTTTAGGAAGGAAAAAGTGAGTCTTGTAGAGCAAATAATACGATAAATCATAGCAGATGCATCTGGAACTATTTTGGAGGCTTCAAAACAGAACACATTCTCAAAAGATTTAAATCTACAATGGACGAACCTGTCCACTTTGGTTTCTCTCAGCTTCAATATCTCCAAAATCTTTGAGTTTGGTTCACCTCATTTCAGTTTATGGTTTTTGAAAGTCATCAGCATTTCAGTTTTCACAATACAGTGGTACCTCGGTTTAAAAACTTAATCCGTTCCAGAAGCCTGTTCTTAAACCCAAACCGTTCTTAAACCGAGGCGTGCTTTCCCTAATGAGGCTTCCCACCGCCGGTGCCCTTCCACCGTTCGGATTCCGTTCTTAGACCGAGGTAAAGTTCTCAAACCAAGACACTATTTCCGGTTTTGTGGAATTTGTAAACCAAATCATTCTTAAACCGGGCTGTTCTTAAGCTGAGGTACAGTGGTGCCCCGCAAGACAAATGCCTCGCAAGACGAAAAACTCGCTAGACGAAAGGGTTTTGTGTTTTTTTGAGCTGCTTCGCAAGACGAATTTCCCTATGGGCTTGCTTCGCAAGACGAAAACGTCTTGCAAGTTTGTTTCCTTTTTCTTAAAACCGTTAATACCCAGGGTGCATTGCTTGAAGAGGTGCAGTTGCGACTTGACTTCGAGGAGCAACTCATAGCACGCGGTGTGGTAGCCTTTTTTGAGGTTTTTGAAGACTTTGGTGATTTTTGAAGCTTTTCCAAAACTTCTTTTGCAGCCATTTGGTAAGTTAAACTTTCAAAACTTTTTTTGGGGGGGTTGGATTTTGGGTTGGGGTGTTTGGAATTCAAGGACTTGGTGTTGGGGAGGGGTTTGCAAGAATCTGGAAGCTTGTGTGGTTTTTTTCTGAATTTTTCTGATTTTTTGTGACCATTGGGCCACTCTGCTGTTTTTTTTAAAAAAAAATCTGGATTTGAATTTCTGTGTGGTGGGTGGCTGGGTGTTTGGAATTCAAGGACTTGGTTCTGGGTTTGAATTTCTGTGTGGTGGGTGGCTGGGTGCTTTTGAATTTTTTGGATGTGAAGCACTGATTTTTTTGGGGGGGGGTTGCGAAGGTAGGAGCTGTGCTGCCATGGGACCCAAGAAGACTGCTGCTGCAGAGGCCGGCGAGGGGAAGAAGGCGAAGGTTACGCTGGAAATGAAGAAGGAGATCATCGGAAGCACGACGGTGGAATGCGTGTGACAGACCTCGCCAGGGAGTACGGGAGGAATCCATCAACCATCGGGACCATCCTGAAGATGAGGGAGAAGATCCTTGCGACTGATGCAGCCAAGGGAGTCACCAGGATCGTGAAGAACCACCCAGCTGTTCTGGAGGAGGTGGAGAAGTTGCGGCTCATCTGGTTAGAAGAGAAGCAGCGTGCAGGGGACACAGTGACTGAGGCCGTCATTTGTGAGAAGGCCAAGGCCTTGCACGCAGACCTCGTCCGGGAACAGGCAGGAACCTCAGGTGAGCCAGAAGTCTTCAAGGCAAGCAGAGGCTGGTTTGACCGGTTCAAGACAAGATGTGGAATCCACAGCGTGGTCAGGCATGGAGAGGCTGCCAGTTCTGATGTTTCTGCGGCTGAAGACTTTGCAGCGGAGTTCCTGGAGGTTGTGAAGACGGAGGGCTACGTTCCACAGCAGGTCTTCAACTGCGACGAGACCGGGCTGTTTTGGAAGAGGATGCCCAAAAGGACTTTCATCACACAGGAGGAGGCCAAGTTGCCTGGCCACAAGCCCATGAAGGACCGTCTGACCCTGCTCTTCTGTGCCAACGCAAGCGGCGACCTGAAGATCAAGCCCCTGCTGGTGTACCACTCGGAGAACCCACGGGCCTTCAAGAAACACAAGGTCGACAAGGAGCAGCTGAGTGTCATGTGGCGATCCAACAGTAAGGCTTGGGTCACACGTGTGCTGTTTGTGGACTGGGTCAATCTTGCTTTTGGCCCTGCTGTCAAACAGTACCTGCTGGACAACGACCTGCCGCTGAAGGCTTTGCTTCTGATGGACATTGCTCCTGCTCATCCTAAAGGCCTTGAGGAGGACTTGTTGGAGGAGTTCAGCTTCATCAGCATCATGTTCCTGCCGCCTAACACCACGCCACTGCTCCAGCCGATGGATCAGCAGGTCATCGCCAATTTCAAAAAACTCTACACCAAGGAGCTTTTCAGGCGATGCTTCGAGGTGACTGATTGCACCACCATCACCCTGCGGGAATTCTGGAAGGACCACTTCGACATCATCACCTGCTTGAAGATGATCACCACGGCCTGGAACGGGATCAGCCAGAGAAATTTGAATTGCGCTTGGTGCAGCCTGTGGCCGGACTGTGTGGCACCAAGTGACTCTGATGCACCAGAGTCAACAGCGGTGCAGGACATTGTTGCCTTGGGGAGGACCATGGGCCTGGAGGTCACAGAGGAGGACATCAGCGAGCTGGTGGAGGAGCACGACCACGAGCTGACCACCCAGGAGCTGGTCGAACTGCAGGCAGAGGCTGCGCAGGAGCAGGCCTCGCTGGAAGAGGAGGAAGCAACTGAGGAACGGCTGTCCTCCAAAGAACTGAGGGACATTTGCCTGAAGTGGAAGGATGTGCAGGCTTTTGCACAGCGGCACCACCCTGACAAGCACATGGCACATGACATTGTGAACACTTTTGATACGAGGGTCATGTCGCCTTTCAGGGAGGTGCTGAAAAGGCGGATGAAGCAGCAGACCATGGACAGGTTCTTCAGCAAGAAGCAAAGAGTGGAAGAGGAACCTTCTCCGAGTTGTCCCCCAGAGTCTTAGAAAATGTACTGTACACTTTGTTGATTTTTAAATGTTTTTCTGTCATGTTTAGAAACTTAATTTATTGTTCCTTCAATTTTTGAAATGCTCTTTACAGTATGTGTGACTTTAAAGAGCACTTAATAAACTCTCGTTGTACCAAATTTGGCTTTGTTGCTTTGTTTGGACTTTTTTTGACCATAGGAACGCATTAATTGAATTTCAATGCATTCCAATGGGATTTCATGCTTCGCAAGACGAAAAATTCGCTAGACGAAAAAACCCGCGGAACGAATTAATTTCGTCTTGCGAGGCACCACTGTACCACTGTATACACATTTTGGCAAACATTATTTCCTTGCATAGTGAATTTTTTTTATCGTGATCAATTTACTTAGTGCATTTTTGTATATTATGTTCACTTTGTACACATAGTTAGTCTGGAGAACTTGTTGCTAAATCTAGAGGAGTTTGAATTCCTAAGCAGTGCTATGTATTGGTTAATGTATTGCTTCTTGAAGTGTGAATTGGGAAAGTTTGCAGGAAAATGCAAACCATGCTGAAATCCCCTCCACGTCTACTCACAGTTCTCCAAGTACTGTTCCCCATAGACTTCTTTGATGTCAGATGGCACTTGGTTCCATACTGTCTTTAAATTCTCTAATGCTCTTGCGCCGATGGTTGTTCGGAAAGTACCAGGTTCAATAATGCTGACTTGGACTCCAAAAGGATGGAGCTCTTGCCTGAAATGCAGAGGAATAAAAGAAGAAACATCATTGCCTACTGAGTCATAGGAATGCAGGAATGCAGGTCAGGAACTTGGGTCCATGGATAGGAACATCTTTCTTTTAAAAAAAAGAAATCCAAAAATTGAGGAGAAAGAAAAGTTGGGAAATGCAGCTCCCCTGCCTTCTGCCCTCTTGCAGGAGCCAGGATACGCCCTACCCAGGAGAGGATTGTGTACGACACAGCACCAGTTGTATTAAGAGACAGTCATGAGGACATGATTCAAAGTCTCACTGATACATCAAATGCCTTCCTGAAGGGAGACCTTAACCTAGTGGGGGAAAGTTGCTGCAGAGAGCAAGGAGCCTTTTCTGCCAGGGCTGCTTCCCACCCTCCTTTCTGCAGCCTCTGCCATCTCTGCCCAGTCTTCTTGTTAAGAGGGAAAAGATCACTTGCATCAAAGGAACAAGACCCTGTTTTTTGGGTACTGGGACCCCATGTTTTTAAAAAGGAGCAATTAAGGGTTTTACCAAACCTCCTTTGTGCAGAAGAAGATTACAGTGCAAACAACCCTGAGAAGATGCCACACAGAATTTCTCTCCAAATGCTACACATTCATGGCTTAGTTGTCAGCATCCATGTATCTCTCTCTCTCTCTCTCTCTCTCTCTCTCTCTCTCTCGTTTATTAATTTTATGATAACAAAAAAACAACAACACTCATCACAATCAAAAATTTAAACCATAAAACTTGATTGACTTCCCTCTACTCCCCCTCCTGGTTCCATTATTTTATACAGATTCATGCATGTCCATAAAATCTTATATTCTTAATCCCATTTTAAAACCTTATTCATCTTATTACAAGTGACTTTTAGAAGTTCAACTAATGTAGAAACCTATACACAAAGCTTACAAAGTATGCATTAAACATTACCCCTTAAAAAAAATAAATCCATGTCCTTTATTTCTTGGGTTTCAAATTATCTTAATATGTCCTGCATAGTTCATTAATTTATTTTGCCAATATTCTTTCTTTTCTTTGGTGGTGGCTTCTTTCTCCTACAGTGGTACCTCGACTTACAAACGCCTCAGGTTACAAACTCCGCTAACCTGGAAGAGTTACCTCGAGTTGAGAACTTTGCTCCAGGATGAGAACGGAAATCGTGTGCTGGCGGCACAGCAGCAGCAAGAGGCCCCATTAGCGAAAGCATGCCTCTAGTTAAGAACAGTTTCAGGTTAAGAACGGACCTCTGGAACAAATTAAGTTCCTAACTAGAGGAACCACAGTATAGGGATGGGTTGGTCTTGGCCTGGCGTCCACTCTCCAGTGCAGGAACAGAGTCTTTTGCTCAATAAATCCATTAAGTCCTGTGCCTTCCAAAATCATAGCGTCTGTTTTTTTAACAAAAAACATTTTCCACATTCTCTTCAAATCTTTATATGTCACTTCCCAGGCCTTCTTAATAACTTTACATTGCCACCATATATAGTAGCCTCCCATACCTTTTGCCCTCCCTTCCTGTTTTGTCTCCATCACAGTCAAATCCTCCCAAATCAATTCACACAAGGTGCCATTTTTGTCCTGGACCACCCTTGCTTTCCCTTGCATTTTCCTCCAACCTCCCACCTCAGCCTTTCCCACCTTGGTGGCTTGTACATTCACCACTTTAAATTGTCTCACAGCCTCTGAGAGTAAATTTGTATTTTCCCAAATTTGACAAGCTGCCTTATCAACACTTTCCACTGTCCATCTGCCATATCACGGAAACCTGGACGTTGGCATCCATGTATCTCAAAAGAGAATGGAATGTGTTGGCTATTTGCAGTTTAGTAGCGCTGCAGAGAGCTTGCTGGGGAGACCATGCATAACAAGGAACTCAAAAATAACAAAACAAAAACTCCTTTTACACTAAAGATAACAACAGCAAACATGACCCAACCACCAACCCACCCCCCAGGGTAATGGGAGAGCTAGGTGCTGCTCCTTATATACTATACCCAATTGCTGACACAGCTTAATTAGCAGCACCTGCTATGTTTCACAGCTGTAAAGCTGGGTCTCGTTATTTTGCTGTGGCCCTTGCTCTGGCCCCTTAAAGACATACATATTGGGTGGAACAATGATGAACCTCCACATTTAAAGAAACCATTCAACAGAGTGTGCCTCTGCGGGTGAAGTCAAACCGCAGTGTTAGCAGTGACTGTCAGTATATGGAAACATCACCGCTGCAGACAGCCAGACTGTTGACATCACATGATGTGCCTATCTGTGGGAAAGAAGAATTTCCCAGGACGTTCACAGGCTGGATAAGTCTTTGTGAAGAGTGTAACTTGAAACCTTCTGTGTGTGCATGTTCAGGAAGTTTCTCTGACTTGCTGGAAGAACTGGACTGAAAGGACGTGTTTTTCTCTAGTGCTGTAATGTCAGAAATAAACATCATGTAAATAGATTTCTGATTATTTTCTTTCCCCTGCGGAAGCAGGAGGGAGGGGTTGTGCATTTTACCCACGCTTGGGAAAATGTCGCCTATCAAAATCTCCCTGGTCTGTCTGGATATCAGCCAGAGGAGGTTACCGGTAAGCAAGCCCCGAGGACAGTGAGAGGGGCCAGCCTCTATGGAGGGGGCTTGCAAACCAACAGTGACCTCCCTGCTACGTGAGCCTGGGCAGTGCATATGTGCAGATAACTGCTCAGTCCCACATCTTGATAATTAAGTGGTACGTAAATAGTTGGAAAAAGCACACACTTTTCAACATGGTAATCAACATTTCTATAAAGCATGTTGGGCCCAAACTATCCTAAGGAAAACAGGGGGACATCCACAGCATGTTCACCATTAATGAGAAGGTCCTGGACTGAGAGCCACACATCCAATTGTGGTCTTGTGATTTGAAAAGTTTGGTTCAAGGCCAGATGTGGGCATGGCCTGTGCCTGGATACCTTCTTTTTTCTTTTTCCGAAAAAATTTTATTATTAAAATAATTCAGCATTAATACACACATATTGCAAATATACAAGCATACAAACATACATTTCATACAATCCTTAAAAATGTTCAAACATACCTACACTTAATCCCACAGATAATTCCTTTTCCCATCACCATCCACCACCCCTCACCCCACCTTTGTGTTAGACTTCCAATCTACTCAATTGCAATTTCTATCCACTTCTGTTACTTTCTTTCACACACCTTTAACCTAATTTCATGCTTCTTTTTCTATTACACATTGTCATCCATCTTAGTATTTCAGTATTTAAAACGGAACTTGTTTATTCTAATAGGAGTTCTGATTTTTCAATATGGTTTTGCAAGTATCCTTTAGACACCTTCCAGTCCCTGTCTATCTTCTCTTTTGAGATCCTTCCTGGATACATTCATCTCAAGTTGTGCGAGTCTTGGGCAAAGCCCTGAGCAGCTGCCATATTTCCCAGCTCTTTCTTCCCTGCAGCCCACTTTCCCCAGACTTGGCAACTAAACCAGGAGGACTCGCATCAGCCACTTCCAGCCTGGCAAGTGGTTAGGGAGTATGGCAGATGTTGCACTAAAGTAAGCAAAAGAAGACATTAAAGAGCTGCTGTTTTTACCTCAGGCTGTCAGAGAAGGCTTCCACACCAAACTTGGATGGGCAGTAACCACCACCAAAGATTGCCAGTCGTCCATTCGTACTGGAGATGTTGACCACCCTCCCTCTGGCTCTCCTCACCAGAGGCACCATGTGTAGTGTCACATCAATCATCCCAAGAAGGTTGACATTGATCACCTTTGCAAAGTCATCTTTGGTCAGCCATTCGTTGGGACCTGATGGTAGAGCTGTGCCTGCGTTGTTCACCAAGCCCCAAAGCCCTGTGAGAAAGAACGTATGTTTGTGATTCAAGGACCCAATCCCCGCTTGGGGAATAAAGACACGTGGACACAGAATGTAAGGTTAATGGGTAAGGTAAAGGCCACAACTTTGTTGATTACAGCATGTGAGAAGGTATTGGCTTAGGCATTGGACCACGGAACATTAGACTCCACCCACTCGTAGAGGGGTGAGTCTGAGGAGGGGTTAACCACCAGTAGGGGAAGCCTGTTGATGCTAATCCAACTAAAGGCTCTCTTCCTGATGTCACCGAGGGTCGTGCCATGGCCCCCCGCCCCAAGGGCATCGGACAGGATCCACAACCACTGGATTCCTTTAGCGGAATACCCAAAATTGTCAGGGAAGGCGATGGCCACACCTTGCCCCCCGAAACACCAACAACACATTCCAATGCCTAACCGCCAAATACCACGAAAGTTGTGACGGTTGCTACGAGGTAGGCGAAAAAAACCAAGAGGCCGGGCCAATTTAGCCAATTGGAAAAAACTCCTACCAGGCCCCCTGGTTCAACAGGGCGACCAACCAGAGGTCCATAGCAAAGTCTCAGGAACAGCTAGTCTCAAGGGAGTGGAGGGTGGGTGACTTGAAGAAAATGTGTGTGCAATTGTGGGGATGGCTGGCGCGGCTGCGTTTGAGCAGCAAGCCACGCCCCCGCCAAGCTTCCCTATTGGGTGCCCAACTGGGGAGGGGCGTGGTGCCAGCCCTGGAGATGAAGCAGGGGGCGTCCCCCGTCCCACCAATAGCACAGAGGCACCACAAGGAAGGTAGAGATTCACCTTTGCTTCCAATGCACCCTTTCACCCACTCCGTCGCGGCCGCCACACTCTCTGTGCTGCTCACATCCAGAATGGTGGTTTTCAAGCGCTCTGAGGTGGCCTTGCCCAGCTGCTCTGCCCCCTTCTGCGTGCGACAGGCTGCCAGCACCCGCAGACCCCGGGCATCCAGCTGCCTGGCAAGTAGGTTTCCAAAGCCAGAGTCACACCCCGTGATGAAGACATATTTCTCCGTCAGGTTCTCCACCGTCTGTCTCTCCTGGTACCATCGGCGAAGGAAGTAAAGCCCCAGCAGGGCAGCCAGGTAGAGCCACATGGCTGAAACCTGTAGGGAAAAAGAATTCAAGCATTAGGAAGCATACACGCCCCTGGCAGGACTTGGAGGGGCAAAAGTCGAATCCCTACTCCACCACAGAGCTCAGCGGGAGACCTTTTATGTTGCCACTGCTGAATTTCGCCTCCCTTGCAGTGTTGTTGAGGGAAAGGAGAATTTTTGCATGGTGCAATGAGCTGCTTGGAGCAGAGGCAGGTTAAAGAAAAACAGGTGTAGCAAGCTGATAAGAAGATAACGTACATGTACTTGCATGTACCTTTTAAAGTTCTGAACTTTTTCTGGAAAGGTTTCTCGGCCTTTAAAGGGTGCCCAGGAATAAAGTTGTTATAAGCACATGTTAGTGGAGACAGGAAGTTACTATCATGCATAATTGAAAAGGGAAGATTCAGGTAGGTAGCCGTGTGGGTCTCACACAGTCAAAAATAAATAAATAAAAATTGTCCAGTAGCTCCTTACAGACCAACTAGGTTTGTTCTGGTATAAGCTTCCATGTGTCTGCACACTTCTTCAGATACATATACACACAAAAGCTTATACCAAAACAAACTTAGTTGGTCTATAAGGTGCTACTGGACAATTTTTATTTTATTTTATTTTTAAAAGGGAAGAGACAGACCTGCGGCTGGTTAGAGGAAAGGCTCTCAGCTTCAGTTGTGCGGCAGGAAAAGCAGTGCTTCCTTCTCCCGTTTGCAGTTGCTCCTTATCTGCCTGTTGCTGTTTTTCATACTCCGCTGGCTGCACAGGAGCTCCTCCCTTCTGGCAAGGATTGGCGAAACTTAACCACCTTCTTTAAACTAATTGTGAAATCTGTGGGTGAGGGAAACATACCAAATCCCTCCCACTGCAGAGCTCCGTGCCACAGATTCAGCCCCTTTCCCCTGTGTTCTGTTCATGTATGGATAGAGCAAATAAATCTTTTTTCTAGAGCAGGAAGAAAGCCTGGGGTTGAGCGTATCTTTCTTACGGAAGCACATCCCTCCTGCTGATAGAAAGATGGGCAGAGTGCTTGCAAAATTACATTTCACCTAGAGTAGGAAGGGTGAGGCTGGACCTGGCCAGCTTGCTTTGGTGCTTGAATTCTAGTACATATATAGAGAAAGACTCCACAAATGACTTTTATATATATATAGATATATATAGATATATATAGATATATATATATATACTCTCCACTCCTCCCGACCAAGACCGGGCTCTTGGCGGCTAACATCAGGTATAAAAACAATTGATTAAAATACAACTTAAAAATAGGATTCAAGTACAACTTAAAATGCAGCCTCATTTCAGTGGAAGCCCAGATCAAAAACTGTTTTGGGGGAGAAAACATCAAATCTTCACCAAGGCCAACTATCCAGATTGGTCCTACGTGGGCCAGAATAAAGTCAGGGAAGTCCCCAAATAGGAGTTCCATCACAGAAGGAAAAGGAAAGAGGGGGAGGGGTCAGGCTGATTCCAAGCCAACGGCCAGGCAGAACAACTCTGTCTTACAGGCCCTGCGGAAAGAAATCAGATCCCGCAGGGCCCTGGTCTCATGAGACAGAGCGTTCCACCAGGCCGGAGCCAGTGTGGAAAAGGCCCTGGCCCTGGCTGAGGCTAATCTGACTTCCTTAGGGCCCGGGACCTCTAGGGTATTGCTATATATGAACCTTAAGGTCCTCCGCGGGGCATACCAGGAGAGGTGGTCCCGTAGGTTTCCTTTCTGCTGCTGGTGTGCAGAAAGAGCGGGTGGAATGATTTGCAACCTGCATATTAGAAATAAGATAATGAAATATTATTTTTGTTAGTTTGCTTATTGTTTACATAGTGTGGATGTCAATAACTTGGAGTGCTGAAACCATTCAGAACTGAAAGGCGTGATGAAGATCACTGTTCTTTCTTGCTTAGTACAAATCTAGGTACGTTTCAAGGATGGGGGATGTATAACCAGAAGATTCATGTTGAAGGGAGCAGCGGGTGTGTGGGTGTGAAAAGGAAAGACCACACATTGATAAACTGCTGGTTCTCTAAATACCTCGCTGAAGAGAGGGACAAAAGGCTGGAGGGAACCCCACTTCATTTTTATCTGTAACCTCTGGTACCTCTGCCCATTCCACTTGTTAGCGGGGACAAGGCAGGTCATTTTTAGGAAAGGAAAAGAACCATTTTGCTGGGCTCCGGGAATCTGTAGCGTTATTAGACTTTACCGACTGGTGGGGTCTGCGTTGCTCCTGGGAGGGAGAAAGGAAGTCAAATGACACCGAGGTTGATTCAGAGAAAGAGTTTATTCTGCTCTCCAGATAGCAGAAGGTACTGCATGAATCGGTTCACCGCAAGCACAAAAGCAAGAGAAATTGCATACAGTATATATATCCTCCAGGCACCCTCTCTCCCCTTCCCCAGGAATCCAGCCACGTCAGCTTATACACGTAAGTTGACATCCATGACCATAAACAGATGTTCCTGTTCCTGTTCCTATACTCTTATCTTGGGGCAAGAAGGTCACCAACTCTAAGAACACTCCTGGCGCTGTTCCCGGTCTTTTGTCAGACCTGACAAGGTCTGTGCGTCAGTGTGGTCAGGATGTAAGATAAGACCCAGATATGCCATCCCTGCTCCACTTTGGAACTGACAAGGCCATTCATTAGGCGACAAAGAGACCTTTGTTTGTACAGCTGGGTTCCTGTTATACATTTGCTCAAGGGCTCAAGTTAATGGTTTTTACCCTTGGAGAAGGAAAAATGGGGATTTTGCGGCCCGTTTCAGACTGACTGCACAGTCAGATTTTAGATCTGGAAAACCCATTCCTTCAAATCGGAAGCCAAAGACACAAAGCGAGATAGTTGCAACTGGGTTCCTCCAACCAAAGAGAAAGGAAGAAGCCTGCCTACAAGTGACTGCCACTTGGCTGGGTTACATACGGGTACATGGGTAAGGGGTGCAAACGGAAGAGACACAGGTGCAAACGACGTGACACTTGACAGGCAAGGTAGGTGTAAAGGAGTCCTGGGCAAAAAATTCCGTGTAGTCCACAGTCAAAGCATTGGTGGAAAAGGAGGGAAATTTTGCACCCCTTAGGAGCACTGCTTTTTTACCCACACACCCCCACACACCCCGGTGCCTCAATAAGGCACCCTCCTGGGACTCTTTTTTTTAACGTGGTGTTCCTTCTGCTCTTTGACAAAGGAGGAACCAGGAGTTGGAAGACAACGATCTCCCCACCACCACCAGCACTTTGGGAGTGTAGGAATACCGAGGACGACGGGAGGTTGAATGCAGGTGAGCTGGGCAGGAGCAAGCTGGCAAGCAAGCTCCAAAACAGCTGCCGGCTAGTTCTGCAGAGGCTCCTTTTATTAGCAGCAGTCAACAATTGGAAACAGTAGTGAAACCACTTTGAACATGACGTATTTCCATCTAAGCACATTTCCAGCGTTATCAAATACACGTGTTAGCAGGTGTTTCCCTAAAATGTTTTCCCCGATACTTGATTATATCTGTGTCCACGGTCATGCTCCAGCCAAGCGTTATGTCTAGTAACCAAATCTGTGAGAGGACAAACTGTCAGGCGGGAACCCTGTTTTCTAGCCAAGAGGCAAGAGTTCAGGGAGTGTGAGCACAAGGCTCCTTGGCACACTGTTGCATGCCGGGTGCAAGGTGTGCCTCAGCACAAGCCGAGCGTTACCACCCCACGGAGCAAGTGCCCGCTTTGCAGGAGGAACCCATTGATCCGTTTAGTTCGCCTTCCTAGCGCAACAAGCCTCGTTCCGCTTCTCTCTCCCTTTTGATCCAGCTCCTCTCACCCCGCCCTCCCACTGCCATCGCTCCTGCGATCCCAGGATACACAAGGCTCACTTTGGCACTGCCACGCGTTGGGTCGGAGAGGAGCACTTCTCCTCCTGGAAAGAAGTTTCCCTGCTGCGGTTCCTCCCAGGGAGCTCGGAGCCACAGCAGGAGGGGAACTTCGGGTGCCTCGACCACTTTCCTTGCAAACTTTATTCCCTTATGGAAAACACCCCAAGCCCCCCCCCCCGCCCCCAGCAGCTTGACTCCATCAGGTCAAAGGGAGCACCAGCGACAGCCTCTGGAGACCCAGCCCAGGAACGTAGCTAGGGGTGCAGCGCATCTGGGCTTTGACATCACTTTGGGCTCAGGCATGCTGCCCGTAAAAGTAAGCGCCGCCTGGGCTGGGCACACCTGTAGACCACACCTGGAGTACGGTATTGACAAGCTGGAACTGTAAACATTCTGTGATGATTCGTATTTTTGAGATGGAGGTTTTTGAGATGTCTTCCCCACTTTACTTGGGAAGTGTATGTAGCTCAGGTTTGTGTGATTTTAGCACCCACCCCCAAGTTCACAGTGGAAGAGTCTCCCTTGGGAGGTTGTGGACTCTCCTTCCTTGGAGATTGTTAAGCAGAGGTTGGATGGACATCTGTCATGGATGCTTTAGCTGAGATTCCTGCATTGCAGGGGTTGGACTCCATGGCCCCTGGGGTACCAGCAGTGGAAGACAGGAGTGCCTGGCATGCTCTGGTCTATGAGGTCACGAAGAGTCGACTAAACGACTAAACAACAACAATTTAGTCTGAAGTCCCATGTATTTTTTCCTGGGTAAATGAGTGGTAAAGCATTGCAGTTTCAGCTGTATCAGAGAATAGTTCAGAATAATAATAATAAATCACTTCTCCTTAAGGTACTGATGACCCAATCTGCCTCTCATTAGGATCCTAAAAGATGCAATTAGACTTGTATTCCATCCACAGCTTGTTGGCTCATTTGGCAACTGTAATGCCCAATGGTTATGCCTCCCCAACAATCACCCAGCCCTGGTAATCCTGAGGCAGCAGCGAGTTCTTTGGATCTCAAACTTTTAGGCAGTAGATGCAAGCTTTATTAACAACTATCACAATAAGCAAAGAAACAGCAACAGGTGCTAATATACAATTAAAGTACAGTCGTACCTTGGTTGCCAAACGCTTTGGAACTTGTACATTTCGGCTCCTGAA